ATGTTCACGGGATAACAATTGGGATATACCCTCCGGTGTCATCAAACATGGCTGGTGTTGAAATCCCCAAACGGAAAAGAGCTTAGTGGGAACAAGACACATCGTCTATACTGGGGAATGTATGGGAATGTTCCATTGCCATGTTTGATTGCCAGAGGGTACACCCATAATATGGGGGGTACACATTTAATATGGTTCCACTTGTCAACCTCCAACGAACCCATGTGCTGCAAATGATATTGGTGTACTGGAGTGCTGCAACTCAACTTTATGTGTTGCCAATAGATACCTTTGAAAAACCACCACTGGACCCTCCCACCCGTCGCCTTGGAAGCACCGCGAAAGTGCTGTGCGACTTCCTGACATCGGAGGGCCTACTGAAGTAGGGCTACGTACCTGTTATATGGAGGTTTCATAAGTCATGGGGGTACCCCTAAATCATCGATTTTAATGGGATCCATTACAAATCATCCAGCTAATGGGGATCCCCCATGACTACGGGAAGTGCTGGACTGCTGGACGTCCGGAGGAGTTTGCAGCTGCAGGCGCCCAAGGGCCTTTTTGGTGGCTTGGTATGCAGAGTACAGATCAATACAGTACTTGGTGGCTCATCTCATTCTGTAAATGCGTTATATATATTGCCCCAGTTATAAATGGGATAAGTAGGGTTAATCCACTTATGACTTATAGCTGGGGTTATAACCCATTTACTAAGTGGGATGAGCCACCAAGTAACTATCTACAGAAAAACCTCCAACTCCTGACTATTGAATTATATGAAACTTGCCATCCGTGTCCTCCCACAACCATGGGTTCCGGCAGCTCACCCCTATCTGGCAAGGTCTACAGATGCCTACTGCTTGGTGGTTTCAAGAGCCTGAAAAATAGAAGAGTCAGCTATGATTCAGCTATGATTGCTATGATGGTCAAATCTGATAGCTATGATTTATGATCATCAAATCTGCTTTTTAAAACATGAAACAACAAAACCAGTCTTTGATGGCTCACCAGTGGCCAGGATCTCTGTGTTTCCGATGTGCAATCCCACGCAATCCGTAAACCCAACACAAATAACTGGAGATATTCCATGTACATCAAACAGGCTTATAACAATACCACACAATACCCACTTACCAACTGGGATGCAACTCCCAAGTATTTTCCTGCGGTTCTAGGAAGATATAGCCACCTCATCGCCTCACTGGGGAACTAATACAACTTGTATAAACTTGTATCGGATTCCCACAGGCATAATATTTATATATATATATACTGTATATATATATATATTGTATTGTAGTGTGTATATATATATAATATAATTATATACACATATATACAGCTCCTGGCATTCAGCAGGACTTGCTGCAGTGGCAAATCGCCAAGGATGTGCCAGTACAGACATCCATTGGCGTCGACCCAGCTGGAGGCTGGTCGACTGCCGCACCAGCACTGAACAGCACGCTGGCTCAGGGACTCCAAAAGGCAATTTGCTGTTGCACCGTTGACGATACGGTGCAAATCACACAGGCCTTTCGGGACCCATGTCTCCCAATGAATTGTAAGGAGTACGGAGGTACGATCGGACCTGATTACGCAGGCTAAAGGGTCTGCCAGAAAGAATTTGACAGTGCTAGCCGCAGCGTGAAGCTTCTGTGTGCTTGTGCAAAAAATAATACAATATATATATCAATATATCCTCTATAGATCCCTTGTGACTTTGGTAGAATCCCACTAGAGCCCCATTAGAATCTTATACAAATCTCTTTAATCATTGATTCCATGGGTATCCCTTAGGCAGGGTGTAGTAACACGCTCTCTTTAGGCTCAGCTCAACATGCACTGTCAAAAAGGTGCCAGTAATGTGTACTGCACAAATTCGCAATTGACAAAGTGTACTGCTGAAAACGCACCGTTTAAGGGAAAGTGTACTGCTGAAAGTGTACCGTCTGGGGGAAGGTGTACTGCTGAAAGTCGATTTACTGCTCGGGGGAAGTGTACAGTCGAGGGCTGAAGTCACAGCAACTTTCTTGAATGTGGATAATAAATCGCTTGCGGAACAGTCGCCACGACCCGGTCACAGCAGGGTCACAGCAATCCATCAAAACACAGGGGAATTGCCTTCATTTGAAGGATGCAAAGTACCCGTACAACGAACACTAGAGAACCCACCCCTCGCACTACAGACTACTATTCTGCGCTACCCAGCACTACTTTGTATTGCAAAGCGATCATTCTGCAATAGTAAATCTGGCAGAATGGATTGATTTGAGAAGAAAAGAAAGTAGAAGGAGTAAGACGGATTGAGCGAAAAGAAAAAAACATGAACAAAAAGAAGAAGTGACAGTGAGAAAGCAGGGGGAGAGAGATAAAAGAAGAGAAAAGGCCCAAGACAAAGAAAGAAGAACAAAGAAGAGAGAGAGAGAGAGAGAGCAAAGAAGAACAAGATGAAGAACAAAAAAGAAACAGCCAAGAACACAACTGAAAACAAGTGCTGGAGATAAAACCGAACGACCCCCCGAACAAACCCCCCGAACGACCCCTGATTCATGAGTATTCAAACGCAGGACCCAGGGCCGTCACTGACCATAAAATGAAGTGCGCAACTCCCTGCGCCACCGCACCCCTTGTTCGTCTGAAACCATAAAGTCAACAAAGATAAACCTCCCTCCCATCCAAAAGAGGTATGTCTGTGGCATGACCACAAGGACGTTCCCCCATGTAAGCTAAGCATGTAATCTGTGCACAAATTGGCAATTGGCCATGTGTACTGCTGAAAGTGTACCGTTTAAGGGAACATATGCTACTGAAAGTGCACCATTTGGGGAAAGTGCACTGCCAAACGATGCTGGAAGTGATAAATGGTGCACGTTCACAACTCCCCCGAACAGTACGTATACTTTCAGCAGTACTTACACTTTCCCCGAAAGGTCCACATTCAACAGTACACTTTGGCAAAGCTTGCAGTACTCTTTCCTCTGAATATACCGGTTGGTTGATACGATTTCCCACAATGAATTGTAATCCCAGATATATTGGGTAGTATAACCCCCGAACTAATCATCAACCAACAGGAGTTTTTGAACATTGCTCGTATACTCATTATTAGTTAAATCTCCAGTAAATGACTCATATTTGATATCTCCCGTTGGGTTTCCTCCATATATATATATATATCCTTTTGGGTTTATTATCTATCATATATAAACAAAAACATATATGTATAAATATGTATATATAATTATATGTATATATTATCAAATTAATATCTCCATGAAGCCATCGCACCTGGCTGTTCTTCAACCGCCGCAGCTGTGGCGAGATCAAGGCCCAGCACAGCACCGACGAGCGCACCGAGCGCACCGCGCTTGGAGCCGCAAGGCTCCCCCCGAAGGCCGCAGGTGCTGTGGACCTCCGGACGCGGGGGAGCGGGGTGAATGATAGCGTTCTTAAGCAAGATATATATATATATATATTGAAATAAAATATATGATTGTGTATATATATATATATGTACATATACATATATGTATATACATATATGTCATTGGCAATCAAGCAAGTTTTAACTCTTCTTGAATCTTCTTGTCCTTGTTGTTTGATCTGTGATAAACATTGGAGAACCTTATTGTTGTTTATTGAACATGAGAAACGCTAGTGGTGGTTGGAATAGTTGGAACTTGTTGGCAGGCGCATGGGGTGAGACACCACCCAATGGAAATTTCTGTTATTATACAGAAACCATCAGCTTGGGGGGATTGGGCCACTGCGAAGAATCTTGCATGGGTCAAAGTCCAATACTTCACTGGTCTGTGGATGCAGCGCTGGTCATGTTTGGGTTTCAAAGCACCAACATGTTGGGTCTGCAGTTTTCACCCTTCTCACGCTCTGGGGGATCCCAACTACATTGGACAACTTTCAGATCTGAGCTTCGATGCAGCATGGAGATAGCCAAGTGGATGTTAGGTTGCTAAAATATTTCAAAACAAAACGGGCTTTCGTTCTTGGGTACCCACAAACACTCACCAGTTCTCTCACTAAGTGTGGCCCATATGTGCTAAGGTTAAAACATGGTGTATACATGTCCACAGGGTCATCCCGGAAATATCTGGAAATCCTTTTAATGGGTATCCCTACGGGTGGATGACCACCCCCTATGGGAAAACCGCCGACCTCCCCAGGCTGTTGCCACACGAACTTGGAGCCGATCGCCATGGCTGCGGCGTCAGGTGCATCCATGGGCTTTCTATGATCCATGGCTGCTGCGTCAGATGATTCATCACAATTCTATTGTGTAATACTGTAATACTGTGTAGGACTGCAAGAGCAAGATCTCTCAATATCCCTCGAAATGTGAAAATCAAGCAAGTCACCAACTGAAAACGCAGGCGGAAAAGTAGGTATAGCCGGTATAGCACACTTGTATGGAATTCCTGCACTAAATAGGTGCTGCCATTTGAGGCTCTACTGTCAAATGTCCAAGCCATAAGCGGAAAAAATCTCTGGATCTCCGCTGGAGTCCTCTCCCAGGTTTGAAGCTGGCTGGCATTTCTGATGTGAACCTGCAGAATCCCAAGCTGATGATACCTAGGCTTCAATCCGTTACCGTTTGATGGAGTACTTGGAATCGCTTTGAAAAGGGGGACACTAACACACTAACTCAAGGGGGACACTAACAACACTAACTCAAGGGGGACACTAACAACACTAACTCAAGGGGGACACTAACAACACTAACTCAAGGGGGACACTAACACACTAACTCGCCACAAAGCGATAGTTGCCAACTACAAGCACTGACCTGTGGAAATTCACGGGGCGTTTACATCCAGAAGAGTAATGTATAGTTATAAAATGTTATATAAATGGAGTCCAGGGGTTCAAAGGAAAATATACATTGGACATCATTGGGTTGTAGAAACCATTATTTCCTGCCATGTTTCCTACAACCCAGTGAATCCCAATACAGCCAATCTCTGCCATCCTCGCCCTTTTTCAGCTCACGAGATGAGGATCAACCATGCGATGGCCACCTCAGAAAATGATAAAATATGGGCATCAGGAACTGAAACTGGAGAGAACAAAGAGCAAGTGAGGACAGGATACCAGCGTGACATCTCAACTAAGCAAGTACTGGGATATCATAGGGACATGTTACGGATTTACTATATAGATATTATAGATATACAGGGTGGGACTGGTGGGACTCAACCTATATAAAAATCTGCACCAATGGAACACCACTCTGTTCATATTCCGCACAAAACCATCCATTTTGGAGGTTGACGCTCAGTAGTTGCCATAGCCACAATTTGGCCACAACGCCATTTCCCAAGTGTCCCAGATTGCCACCGCAAAGGTGCATTAGAATAGGGTATCCATGGATATTCCATGGTGTTCAATGGTTTATCCATGGTTTTATCACCATATGTCCATTAAAGTGTCCATTAAAGTGGCCATTGGATACCCATGTATACCCCATGTTCAGGCCCAATTGCCGATGCCACTGAGACTGGGCGCATAGAAGAGCCACACAGGGTAGACACCTAGGGCCTGACATGAGTTCCAGGCTGGGAGCCCCACCAATCGCGGTAAAGGTGTTTGAGGGACCCAAAAAAGCAGTGATGTTTACTACAACATCAAATGTTTGGGATGGAGCTGCAGACATAAATCATCATAAATTCCAACCTCATGAGCTGCTTGAAGTCGAGTACATCAAGGATCTCATCTGCTACTCTCAACAATCTCTGCTACTCTCCAACAACCATCGGCACCCAAATCTCGCCATTTTTCTATCTCCAAATATCTACCCTGTGATGGCGTGTCCGGCCCACCATCCTTGAGGATTAGGCATGCGCATGTGTCATAATTTATTCCCTCATATGTATTTATATATGTCTACTGTACATCATCATTCCAGTGATGTCGCAGTGAGGTCCGTATAATTTGTCCAAATGGTTAATTGCTAAATTCCAGGATAATCAACCAACAGCCATGGTTCCGCACATTTAAGGTGGATTAAATGATCAAACCAAGTCAACCCATTTTTTACCATCCATGATCCATCAAATCCCAACAAAATCCCGTTGATTGAGAACCCCCATGAACATCCCATGAAAATCAAACAAAACACTAGAATAATACTAAAACCCCATGAAAATCCCAGATTATCTGGATCCAACTAGACGACGGTTGGCCCGAGAGCGAAAAAGACGTTTTTCAAGCAGCTCTGAGTATGGTAGTCGTAAAAAATAGTCGGTGATAGGTTGGTGAATTTTATATGAGCTATGGAGGGGTAAGTTGTGAAAAGTAAGATTGATTAAGAAGAGGATACATGTGACAACCCATGCATATGCACTGTGCTGCTTGGTAAAGGGCATCATATGACACGTGTCTTGCAACCACAGAGAGACATAGATAGAGAGAGAGAGAGAGAGAGAGAGAGAGAGAGAGAGAGAGAGAGGGAGAGAGAGAGAGAGAGAAAGAGAGAGAGAGAGAGAGAGAGCAGGGTCTTCTGTTGTTAGTATTGAGACACTATATTGCAAGACAATATATTAAAGATGTATTTTAGGCAGGCGAGACAAGTAGTATCAAGACAATATATTACAAGTACAAAACACTGGTTTGCATCCTATCCTTCGTATTGTTTTTCACACGCAGACGCTTTTGCACACAGACGCTTTTACACACAGACGCATTTACACACAGACGCTTTTACACACAGAAGCGTTTACACACAGACGCTTTTACACACAGAAGCTTTTACACACAGAAGGTTTTACACGCAGACACTAGACACTTTTACACACATAGGCTTTTACACACAGACGCCTTTACACACAGACACTAGACACTTTTACACGCATAGGCTTTTACACACAGACGCTTTTACACGCAGATGTTTTTAGACACACACACTTTCACACACAGAAGCTGTTACACACAGAAGCTTTTACACACAAACACTTTCACACACAGAGGCTTTTACACAGAGGCTTTTACACACAGACGCTTTTACACACAGAAGCTTTTACACACAGACTCCTTTACACACAGACGCTTTTACACACAAACACTTTCACAGACGCGTTTACACACAGACACTTTTACACACAGACGCTTTTACACACAGACACTTTTACACGCAGACGCTTTTATACACAGGCGCTTTTACAGGCAGATGCTTTTACACACAAACACTTTCACAGTCGCTTTTACACACAGACACTTTTACACACAGACGCTTTTACACACAGACACTTTTACACGCAGACGCTTTTACACGCAAGTGCTTTTACACAGCTTTTACGCGCTTTTACACACAGACGCTTTTACACACAGAGACGCTTTTACACACAGACGCTTTTACACACAGACGCTTTTACACACAGAGGCTTTTACACACAGACGCTTTTACACACAGGCGCTTTTACACACAGAGCTTTTACACACAGAGACTTTTACACACAGACGCTTTTACACACAGACGCTTTTACACACAGACGCTTTTACACACAGACGCTTTTACACACAGACTTTTTTTACACACAGAGACGCTTTTACACACAGAAGCTTTTACACAGACGCTTTTACACACAGAGCCTTTTACACACAGACGCTTTTACACACAGACGCTTTTACACACAGAAGCTTTTACACACAGACACTTTTACACACAGACGCTTTTACACACAGACGCTTTTACACACAGACGCTTTTACACACAGACACTTTTACACACAACACTTTCACACACAGAGGCTTTTACACACAGAAGCTTTTACACACAGAGGCTTTTACACACAGAAGCTTTTACACACAGGCGCTTTTACACACAGACGCTTTTACACACAGACGCTTTTACACACAGACGCTTTTACACACAGACGCTTTTACACACAGACGCTTTTACACACAGACGCTTTTTCACACAGACCCTTTTACACACAGACGCTTTTACACACAACAGTTTCACACACAGAGGCTTTTACACACAGAGGCTTTTACACACAGAAGCTTTTACACACAGGCGCTTCTACACACAGACGCTTTTACACACAGACGCTTTTACACACAGACGATTTTACACACAGACGCTTTTACACACAGACGCTTTTACACACAGACGCTTTTACACACAGACGCTTTTACACACAGAAGCTTTTACACACAGACGCTTTTACACAGAAACTTTTACACAGAAACTTGTACACACAGACGCTTTACACACAGAGGTTTTTACACACAGACGCTTTTACACACAGACCCTTTTACCGACAGCACGCTTTTACACACAGACGCTTTTACACACAGAAGCTTTTACACACAGACGCTTTTACACACGGAAACTTTTACACAGAAACTTGTACACACAGACGCTTTTACACACAGAGGTTTTTACACAGACGCTTTTACACACAGACCCTTTTACAAACCAGAAGCTTTTACACAGACGCTTTTACACACAGACGCTTTTTACAACAGAGGCTTTTACACACAGACGCTTTTACACACGAGGCTTTTAACACAAAAAGCTTTTACACACAGTCGCTTTTACATACAGACACTTTCACACACAGCCGCTTTTACACACAGACACTTTTACACACAGACGCTTTTACACACAGACGCTTTTACACACAGACGCTTTTACACACAGACGATTTTACACACAGACGCTTTTACACACAGACGCTTTTACACACAGACGCTTTTACACACAGACGCTTTTACACACAACCGCTTTTACACACGACACTTTTACACACAGACACTTTTACACACAGACACTTTTACACACAGACACTTTTACACACAGAGGCTTTTACACACAGAGGCTTTTACACACAGACACTTTTACACACAGGCACTTTTACACACAGAGGCTTTTACACACAGAGGGTTGCGATTGACAACTCAAAGTCGCAATTTTTCCTCAGTTTTTGACGTCCAACGTCCATTTCGTGCGTAAGGGTTGCGATTGACAACTCAAAGTCGCAATTTTTCCTCAGTTTTTGACGTCCAACGTCCATTTCGTGCGTAAGGGTTGCGATTGACAACTCAAAGTCGCAATTTTTCCTCAGTTTTTGACGTCCAACGTCCATTTCGTGCGAAAGGGTTGCGCGGGACGCTTTAAAGTCGCAACTTTTCCTCAGTTTTTGACGTCCAACGTCCATTTCGTGCGAAAGGGTTGCGCGCGACACCTCAAAGTTGCAATTTTTCCTCAGTTTTTGACGTCCAACGTCCATTTCGTGCGAAAGGGTTGCGCGCGACACCTCAAAGTTGCAATTTTTCCTCAGTTTTTGACGCCCAACGTCCATTTCGTGCGAAAGGGTTGCGCGCGACACCTCAAAGTTGCAATTTTTCCTCAGTTTTTGACGCCCAACGTCCATTTCGTGTGAAAGGGTTGCGATGGACAAAGTAAAATCGCAATTTTACCTCAGTTTTTGGCGTCCAACGTCCATTTCGTGCGAAAGGGTTGCGCACGACGCTTCAAAATCGCAATTTTACCTAGGTTTTGGACGTCCAACGTCCCTTTCGTGCGAAAGGGTTGCGTTTCGTGGCGCTCCGGCGGCACCGCCCCCGCCTTAAGAGAGAATAGAAGAAGAGCGAGAGGAGATCTGCAGATGTGAAGGTGTGAAGATCTAGATCTGCAGGTGTGAGGGTGTGAAGATCTAGATCTGCAGGTGTGAGGGTGTGATGATGTAGATCTGCAGATGTGAAGGTGTGAAGATCTAGATCTGCAAGGTGTGAGGGTGTGATGATGTAGATCTGCAGATGTGAGGGTGTGAAGATCTAGATCTGCAGGTGTGAGGATGTGAAGATCTAGATCTGCAGATGTGAGGGTGTGAAGATCTAGATCTGCAGATGTGAAGGTGTGAAGATCTAGATCGGCAGATGTGAGGGTGTGAAGATGTAGATCTGCAGATGTGAGGGTGTGAAGATCTAGATCTGCAGGTGTGAGGGTGTGAAGATCTAGATCTGCAGATGTGAGGGTGTGAAGATGTAGATCTGCAGGTGTGAAGGGTGTGAAGATGTAGATCTGCAGGTGTGAGGGTGTGAAGATCTAGATCTGAGGTGTGAGGGTAAGAAGATCTAGATCTGCAGATGTGAGGGTGTGAAGATCTAGATCTGCAGGTGTGAGGGTGTGAAGATCTAGATCAGCAGATGTGAAGGAGTGAAGATCTAGATCCGCAGATGTGAAGGAGTGAAGATCTAGATCAGCAGATGTGAAGGAGTGAAGATCTAGATCCGCAGATGTGAAGGAGTGAAGATCTAGATCAGCAGATGTGAAGGAGTGAAGATCTAGATCAGCAGATGTGAAGGAGTGAAGATCTAGTATAACGGCTGCTTTTTTACGAAGAACCCTTCGCAGGCGCTCTCGGGAAAAATTCATCAAATTTCCAACTTCCATCAATTCAAAACCATGAAGCAATCATCGAAATCCCATTGATTATCATCTAAATTCCGTCAAAATCCCATGAAAATCCACATCAACGAGGCGCTGCGCCGCTGCGCCGCTGCACCTTGCGATCCTCGGGCAGCAACTCGGACATGAAGTTCACTGAGGCGCCCGTGGCCCAGGTGAAGCCAATGACCACGAAGATCACCTGCTTTGGAGCTGGGAACCTATGGATCTCACTTGATTTATGGTTTTCATGGACAAATGTCGGAAAAATGGTATGCTTGGGGAAAAAATCAGAAAATATGAAAATAGCTGAAATCACAAGTGCTATATAGCCTGTTGAGGGATTTTAGTATGAGAACATGTTCTCATCTAGCTCTTTTAGACAAGGTAGCAAAAACAGTCAAAAAATACCAAAGTCCACATTTTCGAATGGAAGAATTAGGGAATCAATATAAAGATCTAGCTGGAAATGAGGAACATCTGGGTATGTGTCAATTCACCATGGCACCCGTCACAACGGGGCGGTGGGCGTGTTCGCTCAAGTCACCCTCACCTTCAACCAGATGACGTTGAGCATCAGGGAACAAAATGCTGCAATGACCAGGGGAAAGATGCAATAACCTTGGCCGCACAACAGCAACAGCACCGACAGCTAGGCAGATCAAGAGCCGCTGTGTGGCTGAAACTTCCAACCACCGGCCAACTGGCGACTTGTGGACTTTAGGTTTAGGCTGAAAATTGCAAACATTCCAGCATTTGATGACTTCAAAATGCCAAATTGAATCCAAATTGTGCATTTGACCGCCCTTGACCCAAATCTTTATGCCAATCTTCCTCTAAGCGCAAGGCCCAAGACACAGACCTCAGCATGGCTCTGAGGCCACAGCTGGGGGCTCTGATCGACCTCCAGTCTAATCTCTCTAGATATGTCTGACTTTCAGGAGCCAAGTGTTGGGGCACCAAATGAAGCAATGTGACAAATGTGATACACACATATACCTATATATATATAATGATGAAATGATATAACATATATATATATATATATGACATGATAAAATTCCAACCGGAACATGATGTGCTTGGAGCGGTTGATCCCTCGACATGATGGATCTTCAATACACATGGATACACCAGATACACCATTTAGGATTCTTTCAGATCGTCATCACAACGACGTTCGTCGGCTGGGCTTGTTTGCGCTTCAATAGCCGAAGCAATTTCATGGGTAAAACAAAACATAGCAACATGTGGCGTTGTCTGAACATAGGTTACCACCAAATTTAAGGGTTGATCATGGTTGTCCTGGTGTTTGTTCATTTGGAGGGTTTTCTTAAAATTTTAGATACATTCATGTTGTTTCCCGCACACACATTTGAACCCAAACCTCCTGTCACATTAATTGCGCCCCTTGCAGCCAGTTCACGGACTGAAAGAAACTAATCTTCCCTTTCAGCAGCAGCGCATTCACCGTGACAACGCCTGGATGGTATCCCCCCGGATGAAAAAGAAAACACCAACCCAGAATGTTTGGCAACAGTCAACTGCAAATAGTACCGTTTCACATTTGTATCATTATGTATATATTAAGTATATATATATATATATATGCATATACTATATCATTGTCAGTCAAGGAACTGATCTGCTGATCTCTGGCCCTCCGCAACATCCCAGGGTCCAGTGGTTGAGCTACCCCTCTGAAAAATGACAGAGTGAAAGCCAGTTGGGATCATGAAATTCCCAATAATATGATATATATATATATATGGAAAGTCATAAAAAACCATGTTCCAAACCACCAACTAGATCAATTCTATATCTTCTAATATATTCTATCAATATTGTACCTGAATATATATTTTTTTACCTCAACCGAACAAAAATGGCTGATTTTTGAGGAAATAAAAGATGTCGAATGAAAACTCATGGTGACTCCAGAATTGCCCGTTATCAACCATGGGTGTCCGAACAACTCCCTTCACACGAGTTTTTCGTGACACTTGAACTTGTGAAATTGAAAAGACGGATACACCCGAGAAAACTTGAGTACCTGGAGCCGGGGCCAGGACTTGTCCTTTTGCATTACAAAAGGTCACTTGATTGGAACACTCGTTGGACTGTTTTTCAGCATAGCAACAAAAAACATGAAATTTGTAAAATTCCAATAACATAATTGTAAGTCTCACCTTTTCGATCTCGTTGGGGGCTATGTTCTATGTTTTTAAATGCTTTAAACAAATTTAACATAATACTTTTACATGCTGTTCTATTGGTACGTCCGTTTCCGTCAACTGTCTCTCTCCTGATCCAACCCAGACGATGATGAAGACCAGCCCGAAGGCTAAACTCGCCTGCGATGAGGGGTGACATGGTGGCTAGGAAATCCCCGAACAAAACGGAGGGTTTATAGGGAAAAATCCTAGGAACACATGGGAAATCCTATATGATTAAATTATTACAAATGGAGATTTGAGTGGATCTTCCCCAGCTTGAGACCTGGGAATAGGTCAAAACCTATGATTTTTTGCTCCACGTTTGGTTTGGTGAACATCCAACGAACTTTCAGCTATCTTGGGGTGACCCATTCCCACACAAATAGCCACCCGCTGGTTCGGAGATGTCTGTCGGGATAAATCGGCTTGAGCACCAACACCAACACTGCAATTTATACCACTATGTTTATACTATGTTTATACTGCGTGTGAGAATTTCATGCATCCCTATTTATCCAATTCTCAAATGGAAATACTTCCACTTTTGCTTTGACTACTACCCAACGGGTGTAGTCCAGACTACTACCCTCCGGGTGTAGTCTAGGAATCTTGAAGAACCTGCATCTGGGCCGGACCGAAGCCCTTTAGATGTCAAGTGGCACAAAGGTGCGTCAGCTGGCAGCGAGGTGGCTGCTTGGAGTTTTGGGGAAACTTGGTTTTGTTTTTTGGGTTGAAACATTCTTTTTCCGGTTGGAGTCGAGATCTCAGTTGCTGTTCAGGGTTCCAGGACGGTTCACTTGTTGGCATTGGGAGGCTTCAGGAAACACAGGTTATGAGCCCAAGGAGCTTGTGTAAACCCCCAAAGACTTCTGACATGATGCGTAGACGTAGACCGGATGGCGGCGCTGTCGATGGATCTGGCGCTGAGCAGATGATGGCAGCTGGCGCTGAGCAGATGGCGGCAGCTGGCGCTGAGCAGATGGCAGCGGCTGGCGCGGTGCAAGCGGCGGCAGCTGGTGATCGGCAGATGGCGGCTGCGGGCGCTGAAGGCGATGCAGCACAGGCGCTTGGGGCGAGAGGAGATGCAGCTGAGAGAGGCCTGGAACTGGTTGGACAAGAACTTGTACCAGCTTCTCAAGCCTTGGCCTTGAGGACACCGGATGGGTTGGAGAAAGGGCGAGGGTCAGACGCTGCAAAGGGCTCTAGGTCACCAAGGGCAGCCACAGAACCAGTTAGCCAGGGTCAGAAGTCAAAGGAGGGTTCAGTCAGAGGCCAAAAAGGAACCCCAAAAGAAATAGAATCAGAGAAGCGTCAAGAGATGGCAACACCCAGTGGACAGCCAGTTTCACTAGGTCCCCATTCCTTTGTGACACCAGAGGGACAGGTCCAAAGTATGTTGCCACTTTTTTCACCAGAGCAGACGGTGAAACTTCATGAGATCCACCAGATGCCTTTTGCATCGCCTGCGGCTTCATGGAATGGTCCTGCCGTTGGAGAACATGGACACGGGGGAGCTGAGCGACAAGCAGTTCCAGGTTGGTTCACAGGGTTGCTTCAATCAGTAGGATCTCAGCAAGGTGAACATGAGGCGAGGCAAAGGGATTACATGTGGAGAATGCAAGTTGAGCATGGCATAGAACATCTAGGGGTTCAGTTGCGTGCGGCACAGCATGAAAACCAAAGACTTCGTCAAGAGCGTCAAGAGTTGTTGGAAGCCTTGGAAAAGAAGGGATCGTCGAGGTTTACCACACCAGATGACAAAGCAGCCAGCATGTTAAAAAAGGAGGAAGGGGCAGAGTCCCGGCAAGAAAGACCTTCCAAGGAGGAAGGGGCAGGTGCCCGGCAAGGAACACCTTCTAAGGAGGAAGGGGCAGAGGCCCGGCAAGACAGATCTTCTCAGGAGGATGGGGCAGAAGCCCGGCAAGAACAGTCAGAGAGCGATTCGTCTCCTGAGGAGCCGCAAAGAGCAAGCAGGCCAAAGGAGAGCGTTGACAAGCAGTCCATGAGGATCATGCTCAAGTTGATGGAGGGCATGCAGGAGCTTCAGAAACAGATTGTGATCTCCAAGGAGGAAGGAAAAGGTGATGAGATTGAAGTGGTGCGCTATGTGGCGGATCTCCCAAAACTTGCTGAATGGAATCCGGAGACGGCGCCCATCGATTTTGGTGATTGGGTGATTTGTCTGCATCCTCATATGGCAGACTTGAGCTCAACGAGTGAGATGTGGTGGGACTTGACCCTCTCAACAGCGAGGACTTGGTATGATCACCACATGAAGCTATCGCCAATTGAGAGGTTGACGAGCACACCAAGGCCTACACCAGAGTTGCAGCAGAAGAAGTGGTCCCGGCTGGAAAGAAGGGCTTCGTCCTTGCTCTTGAATGCGTTGCCGCAGACGATGAAAGAGGAGGTGATTGCGGCGAAGTCCATCACAGCTTTGGGCATTTTGTCTCGTGCGATGCTGCAGTTTCAACCTGGAGGGCTGACAGAGAGAAGCGCTATTTTGACGGCGCTGGAAGCACCTATGGAAGCTGCAACCGTGGGTTCAGCCATCCAACAGCTGAGACGTTGGATGAGATGGAAGCGCCGGGCCCTTGAAGTTGGAGTTTCAATTCCAGACAGTTCAATTTTGATGAAGGGATTGGGACGTTTGGTGAGGAAAATTGTTTCCAGTTACCCAGATCTCAACTTCCGCTTGTCGTTGGTCAAGAGCTCATTGTTGGTGGAGACAGTTCCAACGTTGGAGACAGTGACCCAGTACAGCGAACACCTTCTTGCAGAGCTGGAGCAGATGGGACAGCAGGCAAAAAGGAAGGAAGTGATGGCAGAGAGCCAGCCAAAGGTGAAGAAGTTTGAGGAAGCCTCGGGAAGCAAGCCTGAAGAAAGGACCAGGCCGAAGGGGAAGCCTCAAGAGGAGTTTGAAGGGAGGAGGAAACCATGTAGGTTTTACCTCACAGACTCAGGTTGCCGAAGAGGTAGAGGATGTCCTTTTGGACACCAGTTGGATGGAGAAAGAAGGTGTTGGACATGTGGAGGAAAGGACCATATGGCCACAGCCTGTCCGACCACAGAGGAGTCCAAGCCGAAGGCAGCAAAGTTTGGTTCCAAGACTGCAGAGAAGGATGTGAAGTCCGCTACAACATCTCCTGAAAAGTCCGAGGAGCAGTCTGAGGCCACGGGTAATGGAGGAGAAGAAACTATGAAGTCGTTGCTGGATGAAGCAAGTCGGATGCTCAAATCAATGAATGAAGGAGATGTCAAAGAAAAGAGACAGAAAGGGGAGGACGCACAAGAAAGGATCTTGGGCCTACAGAAGCAGCTGGATGAGCTCAAGAAGGCTTCTATGCGACCCTTTCGCATCTCCAAGTTGTGCCCAATGGTGAACAAGGGCTTACTGGACTCAGGGGCAACACACCCTTTGCGAGCCAAAAGAAAGGGAGAACGTCTTCACCATCTACCAAAGGTCAAGGTGACGCTGGCAGGTGACAAGGAGATCTATATGGCACTCACTCCAACGGGAGTCATTGTGGGCGAAGAAGGCACGGAGCCCATAGTGCCCATGGGATTGCTGACTGCAGTCCTTGGATGTGAAATCTCATGGAAGCCAGAAGGTCTTCAGGTGGTGCACCCAGTGCTTGGCAAGTTGGAGGTGGTGGTTGAAGCTGGATGTCCAATGGTATCACAGTCCACGGCCATGAAGCTCATCGAGGAGATTGAGGCCATGAAGGTTGTGAAAAGTTTGAAAACGGGGGAGGACTCAGAAGAGGCATGGTTGAGAAGGTTGGTTGATGAACACCCAGCTCTTCAAGGAATCCCTGAGGAGGTAAAGAGAAGCTTGGTGGAGAAGCCTGCAACGGACATCCTACCGTTGGGAAACAGAAGAAGGAAACTTTGGAGGGCGAAGGGTATGATGATTCACGCCTTTTCGGGAAAGAATGAAGGCTACACATTGGGAAGGGCTTTTCATGAGATTGGAGGTGATCGTCGATTGATGTATGAGTTTGACATCACCCATGGAAAGCCTGAAGCAGATCTTTCACCTGAAGGTGAGGCCTACCCGCTCTTGTTGAGGGCAGCTTTGGATGGATTGGTGAAGGGTTGGATAGCCGGGCCACCATGCAGGACCAGATCGGTTCTCAGACATCTTGAAGTTCCAGGGGAAGCCATGCCGAGGCCTCTGAGAAGTTGGAATGGAGGGGAGTTTGGCATAGAAGGGCTTTCGAACTTTGAGAAAGAGCAGGTCACCTTGGATGACACGTTGCTCATGCGGTTTTTGGTTCTCTACATTGTGTCAGAGACGGTGCGCAGAGCAGCTGGGCTAGAGACACCCACCACTTTGATCCTGGAGCAGCCTGCCTCACCTGAACACAAGCCTGAAGTGGTGTCGCTTTGGAGAACACCTCAATGGAAGAGCTTGGCCGAGATCTATGAGCTGCAGACCCAGCGTTTTGACCAGTCAGAGTTTGGGGCCATAGCTACAAAGCCAACGACTATAGGAGGAAATCTGCCACTTCAAGTACCACTTCAAGGAAAGAAAGGGCAACCACGTGATGTCTCTGGAATGACCAAGGCAGAGATCTGCGAATCGTCCAGGAGATTGTCACGGTGGCCACCCTTGATGATGAGGTCCATTGCTGTTGCTCTCCAAACCTGCACCATGGGCGAAGAGGTCAAGTTACGGGCAGTTTCATGGCAGGAGCACATTGCAGCAGGCCATACTCCTTTTAGAAGAGATTGCAGAGTGTGCCAAGAGGCCTGTGCGCGTGATGCTCATCATCGGCGGCAGAAATTGCCACCAAAGGCGGGTGTCCTTAGTGTGGACATCTCAGGACCTTTCAAAGAAGCACCTGATTTGCAGAAGAAGAAGGCGAAGTATCTCCTGGTAGCCAGCTTCACTTGGACAGCCAGGAACCAAGATGGAGAGGAGGAGGTTGAGGAGATACCTGAAGTTCCCCCAGATGCGCCGGAGATTGAGGATCCAGAAGCAGAGGAGGAGCTACAGCAGATTGCAGATCAGGTTGAAAACCCAGAAGAAGGCCCAAAGGAGGACACATCAGAGGAGCTTGAAGAAAGAAAGCCGGTGAGGATTGAGGTCACCAAGCTTTGCGAGCCTTTGGCATCAAGGAGCCAAGAGGATGTGTCCAGGGCGATCATCAACATGTACATGCGTCTGAGAGCAGACGGGTATCGAGTGACACAGCTGCATAGCGACAGAGGAGCTGAGTTCAGATCGAGGATTTTGGAAAAATGGTGCCTGTCACGCACCATCCTTCAGACGTTTACGCCTGGGGATCAGCCCCAAATGAATGGACGTTGTGAAGCGATTGTCCAGCACATCAAGGCAGCCATCAGGCGGACACTTCATGGAGCTGAAGCACCTTTTGATCGCTGGCCAATTGCAGCTCGCTTCATCAATGAGAAGTTGCGACAGAAGCAGGTTGACAAGGAGAAAAAGACACCGCCTTTTTTGGCGCAAGTTTTGGTCAGAAAGAGGTTTTGGAGATCACGAGAACTGGAACCAACACAGGAGAAGGTCACTTACCTATGTCCTTCTTGGGTTCATCATGGGCATTGGATTGAAAGGGCAGATGGAACTCAGGCGCTGACGAAGATGGTCATGCAGGGCTTGAGTGAACCACCAAAGTTGGAGGATTGGATTGGAGTTGAAGATGCCTTGAACCCAATCGAAGAGAGGAGAAGAATCAGACACAAAGCGTCCATATACATGCTGGAGGTTGAGGACGCCGCGGAAGCAGATGAACTTGAGAACCAAGAAGGAGATGGCAGATCACCAAGTTTTGAGGAGGAAGAAAAGGATGCATGGGCCAAGAAACAAAGGGTCCAACGTTTGATAGAGGAGGAGATGGTTGAGGCCATGGAAGATGATGAGAAAGTTGCTGGCATGGTGCTGGATTCCATCACCATGGTCAAAGAGTTGATTGGACCTGAGAAAGGAGAAGAAGTTTTGCAGACACGCATTGTGTCACAAGCTGAAGTTCGCCGTTCCATTGAGGTTTGGAGGCCATCCATCGAGAAAGAGCTGACCTCCTTGTTTGAGACGAAAGGGGCGCTGAGAAAGATCACAGAAGCTGAGGTGAAGAAGCTGCTTGACGAAGATCGAGCAGAACTTATCCCTAGCAAGCTGGTCTTCACAGTCAAGCCAGATCAGACCAACAAGGGTGGCAAGAAAAAGACACGATTGGTGGCTTGTGGGAACTTCTCAGAAAGAGAAGAAGGGCAAGATCTCTTTGCAGGCGGAGCATCAGCAGTGGCACTTCGAGCTGCATTGACGGTGGCATCACAATTTGGTTTTGAAGGGAGCGTCATGGATGTGAGGACAGCATTTTTAAATGCTCCAATGGTTTTGTCCGGGTCAAAGGATGAGAATGGGGAGAAGATGGAGCCTAGAAGAGCCATCATCCGCCATCCTGCTCTTCTCATTTTGGCTGGATTGGCCAAGCCAGACGAATTCTACGAGGTCATCATGGCCCTCTACGGCTACAAGGAGTCACCCAAATTGTGGTCAGACTACCGTGATCAGGAGATTGCAAAGATGGAGTTACCATGCGAGGGTGGCATTTTGACTTTGCAGCAAATGATCACGGAGCCAAACATGTGGAGAATGATGCTGAAGCAACCAGGTCCCAACTTGCAGACGAATGAGGAAGAGTTTGTGGGACTACTTTTGGTCTATGTGGATGATCTTCTGGTCCTTGGTTTTCCCTCATCCATCGCTGCAGTCATTCAAGGGGTGCAGGCGAAATGGGAGACATCGGAGCCAGAGACCATCAACATGCAGAAGGAGGTGAGATTTTTGGGCGCGGAGCTATGGAGAAGAGAAGATGGAGCCTGTTGATGACGCAGACAAACTACATCAAGGACTTGCTGAAAAGAAATCTTGGAGCAGATCCCACTACGTGGCCGACTAGAAAGATTCCTTTGGTGAAGGAGCCCGAGGTCATTGAAGGTGAGGAGAAGACTCCAATGGCAGTCAAAGAAGCCCAGCGAGTCATTGGTGAATTGGTTTGGATCACTGCCAGGTCCAGGCCTGATTTGGCTTTCACTGTCTCCAAGCTGGCGTCATTGATCACAAAGTCACCTATGCAGGTTGTGCAGTTGGTGAAACCAGTGTGGTACTATTTGGCAGCCACCATGGACCAAGGTTTGATTTTTCAGAACAACATGGGCGAGAAGCAGCTCAATGTGTACACGGATGCATCATATAGCGATATCTCATTTGGATGCCATTTGATCCTTTGGGGATCGTCGCTGTTGCTCTGGAAGGCTGGCAAGCAGCCCATTCAAGCTGCATCGACGGCCGAGGCCGAACTTGTGGAGGTGCTTGAAGGAGCATTGGCGGGAGATGCTGTCAAGGTCGTTTTGGAGGGCATTGGATGTTTGTGCTAGGTCATTTTCCTACACAGACAGCTCAGCGGCATTAGCCATCATTGCCGGAGATACTGGATCTTGGCGGACACGCCATTTGCGGAAAAGGGCCTTCATTTTGCGCTCAAGAGTTTTGTCTGGGGAATGGATGATCCGGCATTTGCCTGGAGCTGAGATGCCAGCTGACCTGGGCACCAAAGTTTTATCGGTGCAGAAGTTCAACCAGCACAAAGAAACCATGGGCATGTTTTTGGAAGGTTGGAAAGTTTTGGAAAAGATAGAAGACGGAGAACAGAATGAAACCACTTTTGGGATGACACAAGAAGCACGTGAGAAAGCGTTGAAGATCATCATTTTGGTGACAAAATTGGCGCTTGCAGGAGCATCGAATGAGGAGAAAAAAGATATTTCAAATGCTTTGGTCATTCAAGACCTCAATCCAGTTTTGCAGCAGAGAGACGGTCAGTTTTATTTCATCATGTTTGTGGCTGTGATCCTTTTTGCCGGTTTCATCATTGGAGCATGCGTCATGGGCATTTTCATGTGGCACAGAGTTGACAAGCTCACTGTTGTCAAATACAAAGGTTCATTGCTGAACGTGCCTGCGTTTTTGTGGCATGCGCCAGAAAGAGATGAGGATGAAAGAAATCAGCAGCAACGTGATCCAACTGTCAGGCCAAATTGGTTGCCTTCTACGGCTGCTGGCGCTGCGGGCGCTTCACCTACGGCTGCTGGCCGTGCTGCTGGCGCTGCGGGCGCTGGATCTGCGGCTGCTGGCGCTGCAGGCGCTTCATCTACGGCTGCTGGCCGTGCTGCTGGCGCTGCAGGCGCTTCATCTACGGCTGCTGGCCGTGCTGCTGGGGCTGCGGGCGCTTCATCTAGTGCTGCTGGCCGTGCTGCTGGCGCTGCGGGCACTTCATCTACGGCTGCTGGCTGTGCTGCTGACGCTGCTGGCGATGGAAATACGGCTGCTGGCCGTGCTGCGGGCGCTGCATCCACAGCTGCTGGCAGTGCTGATGGCGCTCCAAGAAGTTATGGAGCAGCTGGCATTCCTAGCGCTGCAGCTGGCGCGGCAGATGGCGGCGCAGCGGCGCGTGAGCCGGCGAACATGTTGAGATCAAGAGGATCTCGTTCCCAAAGAGGACCAAAACCCCTTTTCACCACGCCATTTGGTGGAAGATACCACTGTGACCGTGAATGCCATGGTCTTAGACATGCCAAGGAAGTTTGTCTGACGCCACGATGTCACAGATGTGGCCCACAGTCAGACGTTCCCCAACATAGGCTGTATGCGATCTCACATGGATATGCACTTCATGTTGATTATGAGCATTGTCGTGATGCGGGATCCAATGGCCCACTTCGGGCCTTCAATCCATGTGCGATTTGCTGCACTGCAGATGATAGACTTGTTTAGAGGGCTTGAGCTGAATATGTGGTCAGTGGAACTGATCACATAGGGGGAGTGCGTGTGAGAATTTCATGCATCCCTATTTATCCAATTCTCAAATGGAAATACTTCCACTTTTGCTTTGACTACTACCCAACGGGTGTAGTCCAGACTACTACCCTCCGGGTGTAGTCTAGGAATCTTGAAGAACCTGCATCTGGGCCGGACCGAAGCCCTTTAGATGTCAAGTGGCACAAAGGTGCGTCAGCTGGCAGCGAGGGGGCTGCTTGGAGTTTTGGGGAAACTTGGTTTTGTTTTTTGGGTTGAAACATTCTTTTTCCGGTTGGAGTCGAGATCTCAGTTGCTGTTCAGGGTTCCAGGACGGTTCACTTGTTGGCATTGGGAGGCTTCAGGAAACACAGGATCCATGGTGCTGCTATATATGCATATATATATATATGCTAACATTTACCATCAATATACCCCAAATGTTAGCATATATACGCCATACATGGATCCTATGGGGTATGGTAATAGTAGGTTCCGACCCATCCTGAAGAATCTGATGGTGATTTCAGGCTTTGCGAAGTGGAAAATCATCATGTTAAAGAGGTGAATCATCATCAAATCATCTATTTCTATGGGCAATTTGCATCAATTTGCCATAGCTATGCTAAATAATCAAGATAGTAATCAACATTTAGTCATCTCGGCCATTAGGAATCATCATCCCAAATAGCCAGATGTTCCAGTCGGCCCGTTTCGACACGGCGAGTCTTCTGGTGAAAACATCTGAAAACTGTCTTTGTCAATGGGGATCATCTCAGATAGGATGATGATGGATGGAACATGATGGAACATTCAAAAAACATCAAAAAACCACCAACCAGTCTTGCACATGAAGCATCATGAAGCGCAAAAATCGTGTTTTGCTTTGCAGGGGACGTCTATTCAAATCTATCCAATCTTGCCTTTCATGCCTTGCATGGGCTGCTGTCGATGGCGCAAGTGACATGACCTGGTGAAATCCCCACCCCACTGAGACTCCACGCTGCCCGCGTTGCTTCTGTAGATTCCTGGTGACTCACGGGGATTGACGATAAAAGAAAACCAACGCCTGAAGCAAACGCTTAGTTTAGCGGAAGCAAAAAATGAAAAAAACATGAAAAAAACATCTCTCCAAAATTTGGCACCCAATATTTATCTCCAATTCACCATTTTTCACTGGATCATCTTGGGTACAATCGCATACCCCATGTTCCGGACAACCCATGTGCGTTTATGGGTACCAGGGACGCAGAGATATTCGAACACTAGGGATGAATTTGCCGGAAAACATCTGACAAAAAGAGGTACCCAAATTCAACTTATGCCGATCTTGGAAGTATGGTCAATTCATTCCCAGAGTGCAATATGTCTGGTGGGAAAAACATCTCCAAGTGAAAGGATCAAGACCCGAGCATTACCAAGGAGTTCACATCAAAATTAGCCTCTGCTAAACATACAAAAAGCTATTGAACATTTCCCATTTATAGTTGATTTACCTATAAAACATGGTGATTTTTAACCATAGTTTTTTGTATGTTTACCAGAGGGTAGGGTCTATGGATGTTCATACCTTCACTCATTGAAAGGCACAACCTGGGGGAAGCCAGGGAAGCCTTGACTTTGAGGTAAAAACAAACCCAATCCCCCGAATCCTAACCTTCATTCAGCAATATATATATATACACATAATCTGTACATTGACGGGCATATATAACCTCACTTCGTAAACAAGTGGGGTGTAAACAAATGTAAACAATATATATATATATATAATATTCCTCCAGTTTATGTGTATATATATAATTATATATATATATGTACTCCGAGGTCACGAAGTGAGGTCGTTTTAATTTACCCAGACGGCACCACGGCAGGCGCCTGTCTCTCTGGAATATGGCTCAAACGCCTGGCGTCAAACCGAAATCTGGTGGAACATGGTGGAAGGCCATAGTTTCACACGCTATAGGGTAATATCGAGCTCAAGAAAAATGGCGCAAAAATATGGAATTACACCTATATAGTTTGTTAGTTTACTATAGTTTGCAATAGTTTACTAATTGTTTACTAAGTGTTTACTATACTTTACTATATATTTACCCATACCGGCCCATACCCAATATACACTGTAGTTTACGAAAAGGGATTCTACCCAAACGATGGGGATCTCCAGGCTTTAAATCATGGTGATTTCTAGTTTCCAGGCCTCAAGGATAGGTAAATTCACGTTTAACTATGCAAAATCACCATGTGATTACTTGTTAAAATGTTAGTTTGGGTAAAATCCCATAGTAAAGCCTCATAGACTAGTAAATTACTATCACCATTTGATTACTAGTATCCATAGCTCTGTTAGTTTACTATGTTTGCTTGAGGCTTGAACCGCGGGATGGAATGGGGCCCCATATGTTTTCGAGACATGATTGACATCTTTCGCGCACCTTGCCGTACTTTGTGCCATTGGAATCTACAGTCTATAGTCACTTTTCAGTTTGGTAAATGGGACCATATAATATCATATAATGCCATGCTGCATACTCAAATACCCAAGCTGTTGCCCAAAATCTCTGTCATAGGCTGCAGGTACCCAAATTTCCTGAGTGAAATCCACATCTTTGGCACCTTTTTGTCATAGCTAAATCAAGTTGTTTGTGGATGACATCCACGATGGATTCAATTGATTCAATCCCCGTTCTGAACTGGCTTCTTCTGCCGTTCTGGCCCGAAATACCAGGAAAAAACCCAAAAAAATATGGAATGATAACCCCATTATAGCGTATATTTATAACTATATGTTTATAACTATATATTTAGAACTAGAGATTTTATAACTATGTTTATAACTATGTTTATAACTATTTAGAACTATAGTTAAACAACCATAAGTCTGAGATTTTGATAACGCCCTGCCAGACCTCGAAGACAGGTTCGAATACCTCCGCGTGATCAAGCGACGGAGCAACACATCCTGCGCGCGTGCGAAGTTTGGACCAGTGGGGGATCCCTAGGGGAAGACCTTGACAAAAAAGATGTGAAAACATGGGGAAACCCGAGGAAAATGACCTACAAATTGTGGCTTTTCGGTATATCTCCAGGGGAGCTGAATCGGGTGACTCATGTGAATCGGGTGGTATTCCTTTGAATTTATCATTCACAGGGTGGTTAAAGCATTGGTGCCAACTAGCTGTGGATGTCAACTCATGATATTAATCAATATGATATTACAGTAACTGTGGATATTGACTGACGTAACAAAATTTTAACCGCCAATCTTATGTCAACCCAACGTTATTGAGGATGGCTAGTCGGAACACATAGAAAGAAGCCAATGCATTATATATAATTGGTGGGGGTTATCTCCAAATAATAAGATATAAAAATTGATTTCGGCATGGGGTATCAGTCGGTATCAGGCTCATAATGAATGTGCCATTTGGTGATGATAAGACTTGTACATCCCCAAACGTTTCAGTGAATACCCCCATTATTGGTCAAATCACCACAATGTCCATCTATGTAATATGTCATTATGGCTAATCACGGCTAATCTTGGAGACCAGCAGGAAACCTGAATTTTTAGATGCTCAATGTGGTAAAACCAATTTCATAAACCATCCCCAAAATCACCATAAATGGTTGGTACATGTTGAATAAACCATCCTGAAATGGTAGATGTATGGCATTGGGTTTTACCACATGAGGGTTTCCATAAATGGGGGTACCCCTAGTTATCATCCATTGCATTTACAGATGGAATTTTCCATGAAATAAACCATCCATTTTTTCATTCAAGTAGGACTTTCCTGGGTAAATTATAATAATTCACTAACCTGAATTAAGGCCATAAAAGGGGATGATTCCCCTTATTAACCATGATTCCCAGTGAGGTCGCAGTGAGGTCGTTATAATTTGCCCATCCGTTTTGGGTACTCCATGACTATGGAAACCCCAGGAAACCCGATGTCAAAAACCACCGAAGCTGGCGAAGCTGGTGAGACTTGACCGTGACATGGCCATGACGAACAACAATGGCTTCCACAGGACCAGAATCGGGTGAGATCTAATAGACAGTATACGCAGTATAATATATATATATACCATATGATATATATATATATATATTTGTACTATATGATATATATATATTTGTACTATATGATATATATATATACACACTATATGATATATATATATATATACACTATATGATATATATATATATATATACTATACGATATATATATATACTATACGATATATATATATATATACAATATGATATACATATATATATATATGTATATATATACGTATATATGTATCATTAAATGTATAGTATGAACCATGATCATATGTGTATAGATATGTGAGAGATATAGCAAAGATGAGTGTTTCTGAAGGGTAATAGCTGCATCCTTGGTTTTGCTTCTTCGCCGGTGAACATGTGATAATCGTCACAGAATTCATGGATTCACCGTACCATGGATTTCACAGTAGGGTGCCCCAAATCAACTGGTTGAGTATCATGGTTACCATGAAATTGCCAAAAAAGGGCTATCCCGTAATCCCTCAGTTTCACACACACACACATAAAAAAAAACATCAGATACTATCAGATACTATCAGATACTCATGTCATCTCATGTATTCGGTCTGGATTTCCTCTGGATTTCCTCTGGATTTCCTCTGGATTTCCAGCTACCCGTTGCATCTGTTTTCAGCTCCTGACTGCGCACCAGCATGCCCAGCTCACGCCTCGTTTTGGGATCAACAAGCAGCCGCAACAAAAATCTGGCTGACTTATAGCAATTGACCCACCTGAAATAGCCTGAAACGCCTGGCAAGTTTGAGACAGGTATGGTGACTTCGTGACATCGTGATCAAGCGTTTACATAAAACTAGATTACGGGTGGGTGGGTGGGTGGGGGTGCTGTTAAGGTTCGGTTTCTGTTCTTCTTGGATGAGATGCAACCATATCACACACACAGACACAGACATATACGAACACACAGTGCTGCAACCATATCAAATCCTGTTTGCCAAGACAAGTCTCGACCCGACAGTTGACAGGAAACTCAAATTGCATATGAACAGATATGTTTGGATCTGGTACTGGAAACACTGTAAAGTAGGATCCCCCAAATCTCTTGTTGGAGTTGGGAAAGCTCATGATGTCAATCAACAAAACATAAAAGATTGACTACTGGAAGTGATCTGGAAGTGACTTCAACACAAGTGAGCAAGTGCAAAAAAACATGCTTCAGATGTGTTTGGGCACAAGTTTTCAAAAACCATTTTACCGAACATCGGCGTTTTGTAGGGAAAACAACATCAACTTCATTTTGAGGCGAAACGCCAGTGTTTTTGACGCATTTTAACACTTGGATCGAACATGATTGATGAAGAAAACGCTGTGTTTGAAAGGGAATGGTGTTTTAAGGATCTCAAAACAACCTTTGAAACATTGAAAAGAGCACGGTCGCTCCACAGGTGCCATATAAATCCATATAACCATAGCGCTATGGGTCAATACCCATGGGATTCTCTTGTGAATAATAGCTGGGATCTGTATATGTTCATACAAAATATGGAACAGGTATCAATTATCACAGGTTTTGCCTGGTGCCCATTCTTTTGATGATTAGACCCCCATAAAAATAAGGGGATGGGTCAAAACCTATAGTATTATATACCATGTTTTGGGGGAATAAAAATCCATAAACCAACTTAGGGTACCATCCGGGTACCAGGGTTTTGACTCATAGCCATATATTGCTTTTGGATGCTTTCAGACTCTTGGTCACTGCCGAGGCACACTTCAGTCTGAAGTGGCTCGGCATGTGTCTGTGACCGCAGTTCAGCGATTTGCCCCGCGGCTCGTTGAATGGCCATATACAGCCTCAGGGGAACTCTGGCAACTCGCAAGTGCCTTGGAGACTTGAACCTTTGTCTTATGACTAGTTAAATGTTCAAATCATGATAATCACCAATGTAGCACTGCTCACTTGGTTGTCATCGGGGGCCCGGGGTTTTTAGATGTTTTTAGTCTTTAGTATGGAAAAAAGGGAGATTAGATGAAACGTTAGACGCGGGGTTAGACTAACAAAGGGGAAAACGAATGGCGGGCTTGGTCGAAGAGGGCCTTTGAGGAAGGGTGCAAAACGAATGGAAGGGCTTTGCCGAACCCCGGCGGGCTTTGACGAACTTAGGTTTGGTCCATTTGCATAACTTTCAGAGCCTTCACATACTCCCTTGGTTGCCCTGTGAATTTTACATGATTTTACGACTATATATATATATATATCCCATATGCTCAATGTATGGTATGTTTATTTACATTTGGGTGTTTCTTCGGGCATACTCAATGTATGGTATATTTACCTACATTTGGGTGTTTCTTGGGGCAAATGTTGGTAAATATTCCATACATGGAGCATATGGGTATATATATATATGTTTTGGTTCAGTTTTAAGGACCTATTTTCCATATGTTCCACTGGCCAAAATCTATTTTCCGCTGATCTTGGTGTGCCTGGCTGTTTGCCTCCAGGGGGCTTGCCGCCATCGGTTTCCGCGGCTCCCAAACCGGAAATCTCCTGAAGTCGGCGGAAGGAGAAGGAAAACAACCATGACCTCACCATCCTTGGATTGATTTACAGGAACATGTACAGGAAACCATGATTTTTACTTCATCTGGTTGGTGGTTTCAACCCATCTGAAAAATATTGGTCAGTTGGGATTATTATTCCCAATATATATATATATATATACATATGGAAAAAAATGTTCCAAAACCACCAATCAGTCATTTGTTCCCATAAAAAATCATTAAAGTATAGAGGGTTCCTCTGAATCTTGCCTTAAACCAATCCAAAGCCAATAACACCAATATCACCATCATCATGTCATTGCACCCTAACACATATGCCATAGGCGTTGTTGGATGCGCCCAAGTGCACATTTCCCTTGGATAACAGGAACATCCATGTGCTGATCAAAACAATAGTTTTGTGTTTGTTGAACACGTTGGCTTGGCTTTGACATGTGACGCATTTCAGAAAAGATATGGATACCCTGCAAACAGCTTACAGAAATGTTTAGCATATATGTGTCCCCTCAGCAAAAACAAATCCATTCACCTACCCTTGAGTTTTACCAAACCACAATCGCATCATCCCTGGTCACATCGGGAATCCGTTCTGGCTACAGGGTACCGAAGCCACCCTTGCGACTGAGTAGCCGCCCAAGGGTGGATCCGCAAACGAGCGAAGGCCAATTCACGGAAGAGCCACCAGGAGGAACAACATCGTACCAAAATTCCTGGTTCCAATCCCATATGCTCAATGTATGGTATATTTACCTACAAAACTGGGTGTTTTTTGGGGCAAATGTTGGTAAATCTTCCAGCACCATGGAGCATATGGGAATGATCATTGGCGTAGTAAAAATGGGAAAATCTACGCGAGTATCATTGTTGGGTTCCTCTAGATATGGCACAAGTCTGCCGGACATATTTGTTGATTGCTTTCGTGGAAGAGTTCTAAGCAGAAATTGTGTTTCTAATCAAAATGACCTGTGCTGTATATATTCTGAATTCTTCCAATTCAGGAAAACGCGATCAACCGAAATGTGGAAAACATATCAGACATATCAGACATGGAAGTCATAAATATAGTGCTGATGTCCAGCAGTTTCTGAGGAGTTCTCCTGGCTGGGATCACCCTGATTCCAGATTCCCTGATTCCCGAAATGGATTTCCTAAGCAAAAAAAGCTTAAATCCGCGTTTCACAAAAACATCTCCACGTTTCACCTTCTTGACCAAACTTGGTCTTGCAATGATGGCAGTGTTCAGAGCCCTCTAAAAATTCCGTTCTGTTTCTTTAAATTCCACGAATGGATCAACGGATGATGATGATCCCCAAAAAAAATGGATATGATCATCCCCTCTCTATATGTAATTGATTATAATTGACAATATAATTCCCTATAATTGCCATCCCCTATAATTTCCCCCAAATGGCGTATGATATTGTATGACAGTCTAACCCCCTATATATAAAATCATCAACCAAAAGGCTTTTGAACACTATTCAGATGGTACACGTTGACAGATATGTGCAGGATGCTGACTGCTGCCTCCCTATGTTTGGTGGATTGTAAACCCCAACAACTTCGATATTTTCACCATGGTAGAATCCATCCAGAGGGGCCTCACTCTGTATGTTCATTATCCATAAAATCCCATCAAATCCCTAACTTTAGTGCTTAACCTTTGGTAAACATACACAAAAACTATGGAAAAAAAACACCATGTTCCATCTATAAATCACCATTTTCCATCTATAAATCACCATTTTCCAACTATAAAATCACCATTTTCCATTAACAGACCAGTTTTTCTTTGTGGTGAAAACTGCAGCAATAACTGCCCTGGATAATTTTTTTCACCAAATCCCATGATTTCTCCCACTCTCTGGTTTTCTAACTCACCGACTCGCCAGAGGACGCAACGGGGCACAGACCTGGCTAAAACCCCGGTGAAAACCCAATAAACCCAATAGCTGGGCTGGATGTCACTCTTCCCACAACGGAAGTTCATAGGTTTTGACCCATCCCCATACCCATAGGATCCATGGTGCTGGTTTATTGATGGTAAATGTTACCATATATAGCAGCACCATGGATCCTATGGGATATAAATAACTGGGGTATATTCATGTATATTCCATATACAACTTCTATGACTGGATTATGCTCAATCATTTCCTCCCGCTCATATTAAACACCCTCAATAAACCATCGTCGAATCGTGGATGTAGCGTATGAAAAGACATATTCGGGACTACAGAATGGGGGTGCTTTGTATTAGGGGAAGGGACCAATCATAAAACAAAAAGGTTTATACTTGATGGGGGTTATAAACTAGTCCATAATTGGTAGGAATATACCAGTATGGTGGTTCACCCTGTGGTAATCTAAGAGATTAGCCATGGATATCCATAGAAAGGATAGGTACATCGTTCACAAATGGGCAATGGTTGATAGCAAACTCTTAAATTACCGGAGGCCTTCAGAATCCATCAAACAGAAGGTGGTCAAAATGGGTAATTATTATACCAACAATTGGGTGTGTATATATATATAGTGACGGACAATCACTTAGAACGTAAAATTTGTTCCAAAAGTTTTTTTTCGTACTTAGAACGTAGCAAAATTTCATCACTTAGAACGTAGGGAAAATTCATCACTTAGAACGTCAAAATATCACTTAGGCCCATTTATCACTTAGAACGTAAACCAACACTTAGAACGTGCTAAGTGATTGTCCGCCACAATGCGGCAGGGGGAGTGTTGTGGTTTGGACAAAGCCCTTGGAACTCTATATGTACTGCATGTATGCACTTGTAAACAATTGTCAGCATATGTATGCACACGTATATATATATACACATAGCTTCTTGAAGTGCGTCACCAATACATGTCTATTTGGTCCCTGAGTGGCTTCGCTGAGTGCGGCAACATGATTTCACAAGCCTTTCCACTATCATCAGTGACCTAGACACGTTCTAAGTGTTAAATCCCCGGTACGTTCTAAGTGATGAATCTTGATATTTGGACGTTCTAAGTGTATGGTTTTCGACGTTCTAAGTGCAAGGCTTAGAACGTAAAAAAAGCAGTAATATTCAGATTTTTTTTTCCAAAATACGTTCTAAGTGATTGTCCGTCACTATACATATATATATATATGGAGGTTTCCTAAAATAGGGGTACCCCTAGTTATCATCCATTTGTTCATAGGATTTTTCCATGAAATAAACCATCCAGCTATTGGGGTACCCCCATTTCAGGAAACCATCATAATTGGAATTCCCGTTGTCCTAAATGACCAGAATAAATTTGGATGACTCTGAAAGAGCAAGTGACGCAGCACGAAAAGACCAAGGGACACCACAAATTTTATAGCCATTGTTTGGTGTCAATACCCTCTGGTAAAGTAATATAGCTATAGAAAATCACCAGTTTTAATGGGTAAATCAACTCTAAATGGCAATTTTCAATAGCTACGTTAAATTACCAGACGGTATGTCTTACCCATTTGGTCCTCTAATTTTGATGAATAGCTAAACCAATGTGGTGTATACATGCTCAAATACCCAGTCCGATAGTCATTTCTTAAGTATATAGAAAAACCCTCCATTTTTTTGGTCCCAATTTCTACCCATAAATGGTACACGTCGAGATATTCACTTGGATAATGCCATTGGTCTTCAGCTGTGGTCTTCAGTTCTTAGGTGTGATTACTTGAAAGGTGGGATCTTCCAGAAAAGGTGGGATCAACATATCTAATGATTGTTTGAAGCTAAACCAAGCACCAAAATTTGAGTTTCAGCCATTGAATTTCAGATCTCTACATGTTATGCCAACAAAAAAACACATCTGTTTGGTGGTTAAGCAACCCATCCGAATGTGAACGTCAATTGGCATCATCCCCTGAATTATTTGTGCGGATGGGCCATCAACAACACAAGCGACGCCAATCATGGCAGATTGATTGTTTGACCACCATGTTTTCTTGTTGTATGTGAGGATGGGTCAAGTCGCCTGTATTCAATCACATCCGGCTAAATCATAGCGGCCAACTTAAAATAAGGAAATGTTCAAGGCATTGTCTCATGATTATACCAAATTGTAATTTCTTCCAGCGATAGAAAATTACCATTGTGCAAATGATTTATAAACTATGATTTGCCATGATTTGCGTATGACTTCCATGGTCATTTCGGCTAAACCATGTAGTGTGGTAAAGCCAATAATTAATCCATCCTATTAACCAACAATTTGGGATTTTAAATCATCCCATTGCTCATGCAATACCACATTACGCGGTGTTACCAACAAATCTTAAGAACCAGTCATACAAGTGCTATATCCATAAACAATCTCTATTTTATTATGGCATTTGGTTTACCACATTATGAGATGTTGCCAACAAATCTTAAGGATGGAAAAGCCGCATCATGATATACCAGTGACCCTCTGGTAAACTAACGGTTTGCTATGGAAAAGCCACCATCTCTAAGGGGTATATCAACTATTTCTATGGTCCATTTTCAATAGCTACGTTAAATTACCAGAGGGTAAATCCCATTAGAATCCCATCTTTAGATCCCATTAAAGTCCATTTTCCTATAAAAGTCCATTAGATATACCATTTATAGATTGTTTTCTCACGTATTTTCCAGTTATAAACCTCCATTTATTGGTTAGTTGCCTAAAAATGTCACGTCAATATTCAATAATAATCCCACTATTATACTATGCATCCCCCATGAATATCATAGTACAGTATATATCCAATAATTATTCATTATTAACGCATATCATCACATTAACATCCTATATCCATACATAATAGCACTGGAATATTCATACATACTATATATTACTATATATATATATCCTACTATTTGATCCCATATTCATGCACATTCTACACACTGTATATTGCTGTTCAATCATCCTTACACTCTGGTAAAACTAACATAGCTATGGAAAATCACCATTTTTAATGGGAAAATCCAGTATTAATGGTCATTTTCAATAGCTATGTTAAATTACCAGAGGGTAAGAATTTTCCCACAGTTTTTAAAGTGGCTTTCGTTGAAAACGCCTCAGTCTCCAGCGCTGTCTCCAGAGATCCAAATTGCGCTTGCTGCAACTTTGTCAAGAGGCCTCGTTCACACGGCCGCGTTAAGTGATACATATATAATCATATATATATATATGTATATATCATCAAATATTTAATTGGGAAATAACGATTGGGGAAATAACGATGATACACATATATATATATATAATGATATTTCTGTGTTAGACGTGTGTTAAGTGACAAAGTGGTCCATGACCTAACCTGGCAGTTCTATGGTGATAAATATGTTTCAAAAAAAACATATGTTTTTGTTGTTGGGAGATAGTAAGTTAATCATAAAGATAGATGTTTTTTTGTTGGGAGATTATCAGACCCCTTGTTTCTGTCAGTGTTGCACCGAGTCAAACCCCTTGTTTTCCTGTGGGAAATGGTCATGGGAAAGGGCTCCATGTTCGAAAGGGGTGCTTGTTGTGCCTGATCAAGTCAAACTCAAAATATCATATAAGTATATATAATGTATTATATTATATATAGTATATATATATATAGTACATATATATATATATAACTGTTGGTGTTTGGTCATTGTTGGCAGTCAACGAAGCCAGAATGCTGTCGTTGCTCAAGTTCGATCGTTCTATCCTCGTGGCGATTTTGAGGGATCCCAGGCAACAGATCACAGATCATTGAGGGGCTAGAACATATACTGTAGATATACTGTAGATATATATATATATATAATGATATATATATATATATCATAAATTCATCATAATATAATTCATCATAATATAATTCATCATAATATAATTCATCATAATCTAATTCATCATAATCATATATGATAGATATACCATAAGTATACTAATCTGGTTGGTAGTATACCTATCCCTCTGAAACATATGACTTCGTCAGTTGGGATGAAAGTCAATTCCCAACTGAATGGAACAATAAAATTCATGTTCCAAACCACCAACCAGATAGCAATAAACACTTCTTATTAGCATCACCATTGTGAATATCATATTACTATTAGCATATAGAGACATACATCATTATGATGGCTAGTATTAGATACGAGTATGTATATATACATACATACATATATTATCAATATCGATGTTATGACTAGTATTTCCATATATTACTATATATTGTTATTATCATTATATCATTGTATAGTCACAGTGCTATCATCATATATCATCATTATGATTAGTACTACTATCATCACACAATTTATTGTCATTGTATAAGTTATTCGTACTATTAATCTATATATTATTCTTATTACTAGAAGTACCATCAATTATATTATATTATTGTTATTATGATTATCATTATTACTGTTGTTATCAAATTATGATTTTGTTTGTGATTATTATTGTTGTTACTATCAAATTAATTTTATAGGTAGGTATATAATGGTAGGTGTATATTATAATTATTATAATACCTATCATTACCTAGCAATATTTGAAATTCCTATTTCTATGCAATATGTACATCATATGATGTTGAACAAGTTGACTGCCCGTTCAGCCGGGCCACTGACCAAATCTTGCGGCTGCCCCAATAGGAAGCGACTGCCCGTCCAGCCGTGCTCCTTTAGGGCGCGTCGAACCTGAAGGATTTGATGGAAATCGGGTGGATTTAACCAGAAACAATAGCGATTTCCCATGGGATTTGATGGTTTTAATAAGATTTAATCACATTGAAATCCCATGAAAAATATTGAAATCCATTGAAATCCCATTCATAACTCATTCACCCCTATTTATTGGTGCAAAAGATTTGGGATTTAATGACATTCAAGTGGATTTCCCAGGAACTTGTTGCTTTTGCACCAATTTTTTATAGGGGTTAAAGAGTAGGGAGCCAGTGCAGACTGGCTCAATCGCCAACGATCAGGGATGTGAACTACAGTAGCTACGAACTTAATCCATGGCCTAATTGGGAGAAACATTCCGTACTGTAGCTGGGCCGAGTTTGTATTCATATCTAGATACCACTAGCCCATGTATACCTCCTGGATACCTCCCGGTAATTTCAGATAGCCTAATATTTTTTTTCGCAATTTTCAGGTTTGATTTGCCATGATGTACCTACTATAATATAAACATGTGCCATGATTTGAGCATGTTTAATGATTTGCCATATTTACATCTGCTTGGTGGTTTCAACCCCTCTGAAAAATATTAGTCAGTTGGGATGATTGTTCCCATATATTATGGACAATAATCATGTTTGAAACCACCAACCAGTATATTTGTATATTATACACATGGCCACTTTCCATGGCCAGGTGTTGAGATTACCATCTAAATCCGAGAGGCAGTGCGGGACAGATGCGCCGCCGATTCCAAATCTTGGTGAACTTTGGACTTTGACAAAGCCCCTTGACCGGTCCTCAGCCATTTTGAAATTCACAGAAACAGAGTCAACGGGGCGAAATGCGCCATGGTATACCCCAAAAACTGATTAGAAACTTTTGGTAAAATGATGATTCAACGGAGGATTTAGGGCACCTTTCTTCTCACAAAGCCTTAAATGCTTAGAATATGATGGTTGAATGAACGTAGAAACTTGTTTTCCTGTCAACTATCTTCGTCTACAAACCTAGCGATACGACTGTAGCGGAGCGATAAACGAGAAGAGGAATGACCGGTTTACTTGAGGAAGCTAAACAAATGGCTTGACCCACACCTAGGCCGAAAATCCAGAGTTCAAATTGTGCTGATTGGCCGGGGAAAAGAAGATGAACGCATATGTAATGTTGGTAAAGCAAAAAATAAACAACGATTTTGTTGGTTTATAACTCCCATGGGTAAGTTTGGCGTTGCTTTTCTATTGCTTTACCAACATTAGATATGTAAAATGAAGTTCCAATTCTGAAATCAGCAACAAGGCAAGGGCCACGTGTTAAGCCACCAAACAGACTGAGTCCTGGAGGTGATTCAGGTAACAAGTTAAAAGGTACCCGGCCTGGTAAACGTTTATAGACATTGTTACATAGCTATGAAAAATCACCATGTCTCATAGGTCAATCAACTATTTCTATGGCCAGTTTACCATGTGTTAAATGAACAACTAGCTGGCGCTTCCTGCAAGGTGCAAGGTGGCACCCCCAAGTATATGTTGGGAAAAATAACCCCCATGACAAAAAATATCCTAGACAGTCTAGCAAGTTAGCTACCATTTGGTAGCCCCGCATTGTATAGATCTTCATAAATATGACCCTCTGGTAAACTAACATAGCTATTGAAAATTGCCATAGAAATAGTGGATTTACCCATGAAAATAGCATGGTAATTTTCCTTAGTTACGTAAACGTTTACCAGGCCGGGTAAATATCCATTCAGTTCATATCCCAAATCTAAATCCGAGAGATTCACCAAATCCCAGGAGTATCCCGGCTCGCTTGCCGAGCCGTCAAGAAGCAGCTGACGCAAGAGATTCTGCGCACGGTTCACCTGCCTCAAAGGCGATCGGCGATCGACAAAGGGGCCACTGGGCCCCTTGGCCAAAGCAACCTCTGCGCTTTTTTTTCACCGTAGGTATGGACTCCATGCCCAATTTTTAGATGATTTACGATGATTTACCATTCTTTGCAAGAGTGATTTCCAGAGCAACGTTAAATCACCAGAGGGTCTATTAGATAAGTAGGAAATCTGAAAGATGATGAAAACATGTTTAAACATATGTATATAATATTATATAATTATATATATATACATTTATCATATATGCAATGGGACAAAGTGTGCGTGTGTTCCTTTTAAAATATATGAATATCTCACAAATGGTAATCATACATGGTTCACATAATTGAAACTGTGTTGATCAGGGTGGCCATTGACCAGGCCATTGGTCAAAGTATGCCACTCTCTGCAACACTTCGAAGATTTTCATGGCCCATCATCCCATCCGTCTTCCGTGGTATTTTTTTTGCCAAAGAAACTCCAACTCCAGTGCTCGAACACACTCCGCAGCTGCCAGCAGCAGCCAAAAAGCATAGGAGATCAAAAATGTCCATGCAATGATCACCTCGGCCAGTGATCCGGCGCAAATCCTCTGACCGATTTAGGTCGGAGTTCGGTAGAACATCGCCCATTAATTTTTGTGGTCCCAAATCCAAAACTAAAGCGGGGTTGAGTAATTGGCATGTAACTGATGTTCAGGGGAACACATGATGTTTCCTCTACGGAACATCTCCTAAATTCAGGCGATTAAACTTCCATTGAACTATCGTGTGACGTTTTGCAACCCCAAACAAATTGAGAACCCGGTCGCCCGGTGCCAGAAATGAGCGCAAAATCTCCCCGCGAAGGAGAAGTTCAGAGAATTCTAAACTGGTTGGTGGTTTTTCGCCTACCCCTCTGAAAAATATGAGTTCGTCAGTTGTGTCAGTTGGGATGATGACATTCCCAACTGTTTCTGGAAAGTCATTCAAAATTCCATGGTTCCAGTCACCACCAACCAGTAAATAATTCTAACATCAAGGCGCAACGCCACCTAGGAGTTGTGCTAGAAGCTGTTTTCCAACATGATGTTCTTCTCCTCGCTGCCATGTTTGCCGAGGGGGGAAGTGAGGGCCCTGATGGGACTGTAAGGTGAGTCATGGAAAATCCAGAGGAATCTCTCTGGGGAGATCTTAAAATATATAGATTGTACAAAAATGATCAAACAATCTATATTAATATTAGATCATTTACATTAATATTAATATTGATATAACTTGTTTAATGATCAAACATGTAAAACAAACTTGAAAAAATAATTCGCATACAATGAAAGGTTTGACAATGCCATAAACAATAGCTAAAGTGCGCCGTATTACTGTAGATTCTGCCGAGTAAGCAAACATGTATTGGATGATTCCCAATAAAAACCTAACCATCGAAAAGTGCGGCAAAAAAAACGTGGCAAGTTGGTGTTTGATTGCCAGAAGGTAAGTTCCGGGCTTCGAAAAAAATAGGTGCGCCGTTGTCTAGTTTCAAAAAAACGCCGCCATCAACCAACCATCCACACAGACACATCATCTCCAAATTCCGGCGGCTAAATGCGGCTAACGCAATTGTTAGTTTGCTATGGAAAATCACCATGTTTATAACGTTTCAATGAACTGAATGTTCACCCCCAGCTCTGTGAGTTTACCAAGTCTCCAATCTTGGTTCCATCCCATGGCTGAAGCGTTTTCAGAATATCAAGGCATCACAGATCATTGAGGGGCTAGAACATATACTGTAGATATACAATGATATATATATATATAATGATATATATATATATATATAGATATCATAAATTCATCATAATATAATTTATCATAATTTAATTCATCATAATATAATTCATCATAATTTAAATCATCATAATATAATTCAGCATAATCATATATAATAGATATACCATAAGTATACTAATCTGGTTGGTGGTATACCTATCCCTCTGAAAAATATGACTTCGGCAGTTGGGATGAAAGTCAATTCCAAACTGAATGGAACGTACTAAAATTCATGTTCCAAACCAACAACCAGATAGTAATAAACACTTCTTATTAGCATCACCATTGTGAATATCATATTGTAATTAGCATATAGAGACATATATCATCATTATGACTAGTATTCTATACGAGTATATATATATATATATATCAATATCAATATCCATGTTATGACTCCTATACACTGTATATATATATATATAATGATATATAATGATATATAATGATATATAATGATACATGTATATATATATATCATAAATTCATCATTAAAAACTATCTGAGTTCCCATAAATTGGTGCAAGAAAAAAAACACTCAAAATCCCATCTGGGCCCAAAATCATCATCCAAGGCTCTGCAGAACATAGACTGAGCCTGGGCTGAAAACCCCATGTGCCCAGGAAAGGCCGCGAACTGGAGGTTAAACCTGATACCCTCTGGTAATTTAACAGTTTGCTATTGAAAATGGTGATTTATAGTGGATTTTCCCATTGAAAATGGTGATTTTCCATAGTTATGTTAGTTTACCAGAGGGTATGTGCTAGATACATCTAGATACACTATGCATGTGGTAGATATAACATCATCTGGTTGGTGGTGCAATAACCATCTTGAAACATATGAAAGTCAATGGGAAGGATGACATCCCATATATTGTGGAAGATAGGAAATGTTCCAAACCACCAACCAGGTATTCTATAGGATTTTAGACACACGATGGATGATAAAAGCAACTTACAACTGCCACCACTTTGTACTTGTAGATATTGTTTAATCCATCTCTACAGTTTTGAGGAAGGTCGGTAAATTAGTGCCATACTAATGGAGGTGTTTTTTGCGCCAAAATGTACATAAATTCGGGTATACATGGGCTCTTAACCATATATATATACACATACATCAGAGTGCATTACATTGCAGCGCATGGAAATACATCAAATTTATTACATTGCAATTACATTATATACACTGAAGCACGTATCTGATCAAGAGCTTCATGTAGAATTTGCGAAGTTTTATGACCTGTACAAAGGAGTGCAGACCTGTAGGGTTTTGGGGTGGTAGGGCGGACATAAATCTGTATGTTTGAAAACCAACCAATGTGAAACTCGTAACCAGACTACAGGCGCGAATATACATATAATTGGATACAAATATATATATATATATACATATCAATATATTATAAATATATATATATATTGTATTATAAATATATATAATATATGCATAGATGGAGTCATTCCGGAGGACATAGGTAGAGTCATTCTCGATTCCAAACCTGGACACCCGCGCCTCACTGAGACCCTTCTCCCGTAGGGCCTCAGATTTCGAAGGCAGCGCCAGCCGCTGTTTGTTCATGGAAGCCGTGGGGAAAATCCGATTTTCAGATACCCGGCCTGGTAAACAAACAACAGTTTGCTATTGAAAATGGCTATTTATAGTTGATTTACCCATTAAAAAAAAAGTGATTTTCCATCGTTTTTTGTATGTTTACCAGAGGGTATCTCAATTTGGTTTGAACAAAATACGTTCTAAAGATGAACTGTTAAACACTGATGTCATGAGTTTGAAGAATTTGGGGTCAGTTTCGAACCAAAGGGGCATTCAGTTGGGGGTCACGGATCTTGCAAAACACTTTTCAAAAACTATTAATTAGTCGTGGTGGTCGGGAATGTTAGATTACCAAGTTCTCTCGTTCAGAGCTGATATATATATATATAGGGTCCAGTGACATGAGTACTTTGTGGAAAATGTGACTTTTTTTTGTGCCACACCACCCCTAGGTTTGAACGGATGACATGTTTTTCGGTCTGTAGGGGGGGTACGTTTTCTCATTCCACATGTCATCAGCCCCTAATATATATATCAAACATAGTTGTTCACTACATTGAATTTGTGACTTGATGAAACCAAAATACACTATACTCCATGAACAGGAAATGACGTCCTGCAGAAATGCCCGATAGACGAGTATGTTCAATCCATCCCAAAGACTATCGGTCAACGGGGACTCATCATCGCATGTCTGAAGAAAAATAATACATTTTGTAAGTAACTACATCTCTATGTATGTACATGTATGTACATGTATGTACACATGGATACATTTATGGATACGTGCAGAAACAATACATATAAATAAACATAGAGCTATGTGTACATAGACATCAAACAAATATATTGAGGAATCGAAGCAGCTAGAACAATATTATATATATAAATGTACATACTATTCAAACCTATTTTACATATACATAATCATCCTATATATTCACATAATTATATATAATATCATATATAATCTTTTATATAGTTCATCAACTTATATCACTTGAGCATTAACTATCATAACTATTATATCTAACTATTTATCATAACCATTATATATATATATATATATATGGGTGAACTATAATATTTCACTTTCCTCTTTGAGGGTGATTCCTCTTATTAATCATGATACAGTGAGGGAGAACAGTGAGGTCGTTATAATTTACCCAGATATATCATGGTTCCCATATATATATATAGATTATATAACCATCTACGATAATCCGGTGTTCCCTAAATGAGTTTTAGTACCCCAAAACCATTGGTATGTTGTCTATTATCTATCTATCTATCTATCTATCTATCTATCTATCTATATATATATATTTATACATATTATATATTATACATATTATATATTATACATATTATATATATACGTATTATATATTATACATATTATATATTATACTACCATCACATCTCCATAGCTTGGACGTCCATCCTGGGCTCCTGGGGCTCCCCTGGGACTCCCAGCTGCACAGTCAGGAAAGCAAAGGCCCACCGCCAGGATACCAAAAAGGCCACTCGCTGCATGGACAGGGACCTGAAGCGAAAACCTTGCGAAAACGTCTATCTGTATATGGAATATATATATATATATATATTCTGTATATATGATTAATGGGATATATACCTAATGGGATAGATTAATCCGGATTATGGAATTGAATGGGATATATATATATATATATTTCTGTATATGGGATAGATATCCGGATTATATATATATAAAATACTGGTTGGTGGTTGAGCCTAACCCTCTGAAAAATATTAGTCAGTTGGGATTACGACATTCCCAATATATGGAAAAGTAAAAAATGTTTGAAACCACCAACCAGAATAGATTTGAATTGAATATATATATATATAGTAGATTCGTTTAAAGCTCTTATAGAATTGAATGGGATATATATTTTCTGTATCTGGGATTGAGATTGAATGGGATATGTTCATGAATTTTCATGGAATTGAATGGGACATTAATATGTATGTATATATATATATAGACATATTCATGGGATTTGCTCTGGAGGTTGAATGGGATATGTGTTGAAAACGGGATTTAACATGGATTTATTCATGATGGGAGACATTAGAATCTGTAGATTCTGCTGGGATTTCATGGGATATACTGCAACAACATACAAACACCACAATCTGATGTTGTTGGGATTCAATGGGACACATCCCGGTTGGTAAAAAACATAACAAGCTGTTGAAATTGCGAATCTTAGATGCAGCCGCCTCCATGTAAAAAAAGAGCTGGTCAGAACGTATTCCCAAAAGCATTCGGAAAAGAAACGAAACATATCGAGTTACCCATCCAGTGTTTAGCCCGAGTTATATAAGGTATACGGTATCTCTGAAACACTATTCATATATTCATCAACTAGGGCTTTAAACCTGCTAGCAGTGGGGATTTTTGCAAACTTTTTCTGAAGTTCTGTAGCTGACATCCTCACACCTTGGAAAGTGCCACTAAGTCAACTGATCGGTCATCAATCCCATGGTTTAATCATGTTTGATATTGTTTGATCATGTTTAATCATGTTTAATCCACATGATTCAAAACATGTGTTGCTTGACAGGATAGGCGGGTCAGTTCTCCATATATCTTGCCAGGATCTTGGAGCCCTACACGCATAGCTGGTGATGTCAAGCACCACCGGATGGTCAGTACGAGACTACTAAATTGCTTCCAGAACATGGTTTTAGTTTCCCTTCAGGAATCAGATGTGGCAATGGCAAATAACTTTCAGAATCGCATGATGTATGTATATATATATATATAGAGAGAGAGAGAGCGAGAGATTGGATATATATATATATATATAACTTTCATATATATATATATATAACTTGCATATATATATATATAACTTGCATATATATATATAACTTGCATATATATATATATATAACTTGCATATATATATATGTATATGTATTATTATTCTTATATATATATGTATTATTACGGGCAAACACCTCGATTTGCCCGCGCTTGTCGGCGGCCATCTTCGTATGTGCTGAAAACGTGATAAAAATGGGAGTTGTTTGCATCATGGCTAACTTCATGTTGTATATCGGCACGCACAGCATAGGGACCTGTGCGAGTCTCTTACACATCATCATCATCATCATCATCATCAAACCCTTATTGAAGATCTTCAATTAATGTAGAAGTTTAACGGGGGTGGGAGAACTAAACCCTTATTGAAGATCTTCAATGAATGTAGAAGTTTAACGGGGGTGCGAGAATTAAACCCTTATTGAAGATCTTCAATGAATGTAGAAGTTTAACGGGGGTGGGAGAATTAAATCCTTATTGAAGATCTTCAATGAATGTAAAGTTTAACGGGGATGGGAAATTTATATTCCCTAAATACCCTTGTTGATCTTCCCAATTGAATGTAAAGTCTAACGTTTGATATCCCCAAGTGTACAGCATAGAAGGGGTGTGGGCGAATCGGGGTGTTTGCGCGTATTATTATATATATATATTATATATATATATATCATAATATATATTTATATATGTATATATTATACTAGTAATACTATACATATATATATATATGTGTTGTTGATTCAAAATAGATCGCAGGAATTGATGCCTTTTTTGGGCATCCCCCATGCCTGGACAAGTTCGATAAAACACAACAGGCCTTCGTAAACATATCTATGGTGACCTCCAAGAAATAGAAAACCATGCACAGTTGAAGGTAACCATTTGGATCCTGGAATTGATTCCTAACTGCTGTTTGGTTACTGTACTATAATTATAGTTAGTTATCCCATATTATCCCTGTAATTTTCCATATTATCCTTAATTACCCCCCATGAATTACAGTTACCATATGGGATAATAGTAATTATAACTAAATTCTATGATAACCATAATGGTAACTATTATAGTAACTATAATTAACTTAATTAACCCATAATAATAGTTATCCCATGATTATCCCATATTATGCTTAGTTACCGTACTATGATTATCTGGTTGGTGGTGCAATAACCATCTTGAAAAATGATGGAGTTCGTCAATGGGAAGGATTATCCCATATATTAAATTGACAATTCCAAAAATGTTTCAAACCACCAACCAGTCATATATCATCATATATCATCATATATCATCATATATCCATGTTGATTATCAGTGATATAACTCTTGAAAAAGTCTTGGATTTCTTGCGAACCTCGATTTTTTTTGGGTAACTTGTTACTTAAGGTTGCTAGGAATCCTGGCTATAGCCACAAGCTGTATTAATCAACTTCCCAGGGCTCCACACAGCATCCACCGGATCATCTAAACCTGAGTTACCCATGAAAAAAAAGGTGGTTTAACTGGAAAATCACGATCGTGAAAAAAGGTTTCTATCAACTATCAATGGGCCATGATAGCTAAACTGGTAAACTGGTTTTTCGCCTACTCTGAAAAATGATGGACTGAACGTCAGTTGGGATGATGACATTCCATTCCCAACTGTTTCTGGAAAGTCCTAAAATTCCATGGTTACCACTTCAACCACTTACCCTTCGTTGTGCTCAAATATAGCTAATCCCCGAACGAAATGGAGCGATGGGATTCTGAATCATTAGATCTTGGATAGCCTCCGGACATCTTACCTGAGAGAACTTTGTGTGCTGTCGTAATCAATGGGAATTTCAGGAACCGATTGATTCGAGGTACCGACTCCATCTATTTTTGGCCTATTTTTCAGGCAATTTCAGGGAATATCCCCACAAAATATGGCCAAAAATATGGTACAGTACCTCTATTTTAGGATCCTGAAATTCCCATTGATAGTAATTAAACTTACTGGTGCTAAACGCAGGGAATGGGAATGGGAATGGAGGTTGCTGGGATGAGTATTTCTAGTGATGAAATGGATGGTAATTCTGGTGGTTTTTCGCCTACCCATCTGCAAAATGATGGAGTTCGTCAGTTGGGATTATGACATTCCCAACTGAATGGAAAAGTAAAAAAATGATCCAAACCACCAACCAGTAATTCAAGGGCAGCCCGGAAAACGACAACTCAATGACCCAGCTTGACAAATTCCGTACAAGTTCATGATGCTACGCTAACATCAGCAGAAAACAAGTCACGTGGAGAATGAGTGATTTCAATCGAATTCACCTGAAGTTGTCAGCTATCCCCAGCTACAAATCCCAACTCTCAATGTTGGCCCTTTAATTCGTGGCCAGAAAAACGCTTGAATCATCTTGAATCCAAATGATCATATGGCGTTCATTGGGCTTCCCCATATTTTTTGGTTTCCATAGTCATGGCGGTACCCCAATAGCTAGATGGTTTATAAGGGGAAAATCCTATTGAAATAGATGATAACTAGGGGTACCCCTTTTCTAGAAAACCTCCATGTTGAAATATATTGAACATGTTTCATGCTTCGCGGCCCACCTTGAATCATTGTCCCGTTTTTGCTGAAGCAAATAAAGTACAATCGCCACATGCACTACTTGAAGTTCCCTTATGTTCTTTTTTGAACTTTTTTGCCCGTGTTGTTGGTTAAACAAGGTCAAATAAATCAAATCTCAATTGTTTGGTGGCTAGAATCATGTCTAAATTCGGCTGTCATCCCATAAAATGACTCCGAACATACTGAGTACATACTGTGTGTATTAATCCCACGGATGGCCATCTCCGTTTTTTGGGACAATAAGACATGAACCATCGAAAATACCCCTATCCCATCGCATTGCTAGTTGCTTGATAATTTTCCCTAAAAAATATGGCAAAGTTCATATAGTTCAGAATGCGTTCATAATCCACAATAACTCAGGTACTATAACTTCCTAAAATGTTTTTGCCCCCCACCAGTTCTAAGTTGGTTTATAAACCCGTGGAAATATGTCATGAAATATAAGATGTAATAAGATGTAATAAGATGTTATAAGATGTAATAATTTGTTATAAGATGTAAAACATGTTATAATATGTAGTGAGGTAGTGTACAATGTTAAAATATGTAATAACATATTATGATATGTTATAAATGTTATAAGATGCTATGATATATTATAAGAAATCATAATATCTTATAAGATATGTTAAGATGATATGATATATTATAGGATCTTAAAAGATCTTATAAGATTTGTTAAAATGTTAAAATGTATTATAAGATATTATACGATATTATAATTTGTTGTAAGATGCTATAATATGTTATGATATGTTATAAGATCTTATAAGATCTTACAAGATAGTATAAGATATTACAAGATATTATAAGATCTTATAAGATATGTTAATAAATTATAATATATTATAAAATATCATAAGATGTTATAATATGTCATGAGATCTTATAAGATCTTAGATTATAAGATGTTATCATATGTTGTAAGATGTTATAAGTTATAAGATACTATAAGATATGTTAATCATCTTATAAGTATCATACACCATTCAAGTTACGTTCATCAACTGAGCGAAACAACGAGGGCAGAGGGACGCAGCCGTCGCATGCCGTTGGAGGCCATGGGATAGACCACGAGGCCGGCCAGAAGGCCGATCAGCCTCAGTCGATAAACCCCCTGCCGTGCAGTTCCGGGAACTTGCCTTGAAAAATGGATGGCGAATGTTGTCTCATGGCGATCTTCTGGTACGGAAAATCAGCGATTTGCCCATGAAAATTGGTTAAACTGGAAAATCACTAAATTCACTATCTTTAATAGGTATATCAACTATCAATGGGCCATGATAGCTAAACTGGTTGGTGGTTTCAACCTCTCTGAAAAATAAAAAATGTTCCAAACCACCAAACAGATGAAGTATTTATTTATAGATGTTTATAGATGTAGAAAAATATATAAAAGTATTGAAAAATAGAAACGTATTGAAATACTATAAACATCTCTATAAGCAAGTATAATACGTCACTAAATCTAAAATAATTATTACTTATTAATTAGATTAATGAGGATTTTGTGATGAATGTACTATTAACAGTTGACTTAACTATAGATTTATGTGGAATCTACTATTCTAAGTGGATTTGTGATATTTATGTGGATGTTACTCTGCAAGTCTCTTTCATGTAACTTTTATCACTATTTCATGTAGGATCTTACTGGCTGACAGGGCCAGAAGGTGCCTAAGCGCCGACCGCAGACGTGGCTGGTACCCTAAATAGCTGGTATAGCTGGATGGTTATTCTCCCAAATATGGTCATAATAGGTTTTGACACCCATACAAACAACATCTAGGTGACATATCTGGGATATTTCATTGGAATTTTGAAGGGGAAGATAACTCATGTATACTAATATCACATACTATGACCAATATTCTTTTGTAAGATATGCGTGCGTTTACTCGACCTGTCATGGAATTGAAATATTGGTTGAGGGAATATTCAGCAAATGTTGGGGATAAGGGTGGGGACACCGTCTATTTGGCATAAAATGGGGATTACATGGATATATACTATGGATTATGGATTATGGGAATATAACCAGCAGTATCGAGATGAATGGAATATCACCAGGGAAAAAAAAACAGCCATGATTAGGAAACAGGTTTGGGATTAGCCAGCAATAATGTCAACCACCCCAAAAAATAGAAAAGTATAGAAAAGAAAATAACAAGTAACAATGTTGAATTGTTCTAAATAAGTTAATTAATAATAATATTTAATAACAACAATAACAATTTTATAATTATTCTAATAATAACAATAATAAGCTAATAAATAAAAATTCACTATATATTATATAAAATTGAACTTCTTAGGGGGGCGATAGTTCAGTCTTTGAATTCATGGGAGGGGAGATACCAATTTTGCGCCTTAGCAAATGCATAGCAAAAGGATACTAGAGGTTTTTTTGATACTTTTTGTGGTGAAACGTATGTCCTACCTGTTCATTTCTGGGCTGCAACACTTTCACCATTGAGTTTCTCGCTTACATTCGCTTACCGTACTTCAACAGACTTGGATCTACCCTTGAGTAAGTGTTGAAAATCACTTCAAGCATTGTGATCGTTTCATTACCCAGTTAGATACACAATGTACGTAGCCACATACATGGCTGATCTGGAATACCCTGGTACTGGGATGTTGTAATTATCCCATGGTAGGGATTAGAAAAAGAAAACATGCAACTAACTACCAACAAGATCAAGAATGCACCACCAAAGAATCTGATATGTGTATATAGCAAAACTTATAACTTCTGTGTCATCAAATATTTGAACCCTTTTCAATGATGTTGGTTGAGATCTCACTGGTATACAAAGGTATATATCTGGGAACAGTTGTATTGGCATCCATCATTTAGATTAATTCATTCAATAAGTTCAATTGCCATTGCATCATGGCTAAACTTGGCTACCCCACAAAAACTTGTTCGTCAAAAAGGATTTCTGGCAAACAAATACAGCGAACCATTTACCAAATCTCGGTTTGCCATGCGATCCAATTCCAGACTGTAGCTGGTTAGTGGTATCTCTCCCCCGCAGGATATGATAGGTAGGATGGACACATAAAATCATGTTGAGAAAAAAACACCAACGAGCCAGAGATACTTAATGTGTGGGCCCCCCAAACAATAGTTTAGTTGATTTAGTTTGCTAGGTTAAAGTACAGTTTCTCGTAGATATAACTACTATATAGTATTGAAATGTATTGATAGGGGTTATAAACCAACTTAACTACTAGCTTCAGTATGGTTTATGGTAAACACAACATAGACACAACTACATACGACTAATTAAGACTACTATTCATGGGGGTCATGAACCAACGCAACTCTCGTTGTAACCCCGCAAGCCTGTAGGATCACTTGCGAACATGTGTCGCGGCCAGGACACATGGAAGTTAAAGGCGTGGACACCTCGGAAACTCTCAGAGAAACACATGGCTATGAAATCCCCGAGCCATCGCTCCAGAGATTAACATGTCTATAATTTTAGCTCATTGGTGGTTTAAACCTACCGCCCGAAAAATATGACTTTGTCAGATTGGGGAAATCATCCCAACTATTGAAGTCATAAAATTCCATGGTTCCAAACCACCAACCAGGAAAGTGTATAGACCAAGAATAGATGGTATGGTGATATCAACATCGCCTACACATATGCTGGATAATCAAATATTAGGGTTATTGATGGTTATTGGGTTATTCCAAACCACCAACCAGTTAGTATTAACATGTATTGATCATATCTTGGGGTACACCCATTTTGACCCAACATGACCATGATGAGCTGATGGCTCAGCTGGACGATGACAGTTCGAACACGTGGGCCTGTCAAGGATCTAGAGCCCAAGAGATGTATCTAAAAATTCATGATGGACAAACAGCTATAGTGTTGACATATTAGAGATGGCAACATCATTCTGCAAAGTTTCTGGACTGTTTTTTTTGGTTTCAATCCAACTGAACAACAAATAACCATTCGGGATCAAACATTTTGTTGGGAGCTCGTTTTGCTGGAATCATTGGCTTCTTCCAAGCTGAGATCAAAGCACTTGTCATCTGTTGTCCTGGGTACCCAATCACTGGTTCAGAATCTTCAAATAAATCTATATATATATATAGGTCGATCGACAAACTCTACGGTTTGTTTGTTGGGCCTGTTTGAGCATGGAACCGCATGACTGTGGGAAAGATTCTACCCAGCAACCCCCCAACAATGTCATGTATTCCACCATCCACTTTCCCAGGTCCATCATGCACTATATTTGATTGGAATATATATATATATATATATTATATATATATAATATATATAGTCTTAATTATTAACATTCATTAACATTCGACTATATTTCATTGGTATCATGTTTGTTCATCTTTGCTTCGAATCTCCCGAACCCTCTGGTTTCAGAACGGGGATTGAAACACCGAATCATCCAGGCCACATCGCAGCAAGCCGTAATCGAGACCAACCCAGAGAGAAGACCATTGCAGAGAAATCCAACGTCCAAGTTCAGTCGAAAACCTCCGGTTCAAACTTTCGCGCGAGAATAAAAAGATATAAAAAGCAGGCGGAAAGCCTGAGTCTGAAAATGTGAAAATCTCTACCCTCTGGTAGTTTGTTACAGTTTGCTATTGCAAATGGCCCATTTACCTATTACAGATGGTGATTTTCTATAGCTATGTTAGATTACCGGAGGGTATATTTTGAGGCTTTTGAGGAGATGTCATCAAGGGGAGAATGAAAACACTGGGGATTCTGATGAAAGCTGACGAAGTTCACGACGGTCACACCTGAATTTAGCATCACATCACCCAAGCAATGGGCCCGTCTTCAAAAACGTGGAGGAGTGCAGATCCGACTTTCTCATAACCCGCCAGGAAATCTCTTGTTGCCATTTAGCCTCTGGCAACTAGGAGGTTCTGTGCTTCATAAAGGTCCAGCGATGTCACCCTTGATTCAGATTGGAAATGGATATGTAGCCTCTGCACCAAATTCATTGAGATCGATCACAAGATATAGGTTAAAACTGAAGCCACGAATGCTGCGAACATTGTCGTTCGCTTACGCGGTCTAGTATTGTTTAGTGTCTAAATGAATTTTGCAAGAACAGGCTGGGGCACAGCAACCCACGAAGCCGTACCATGGTCACCGCACCAACCCATCTGCAACCAACCAAAAAGCATCAACAAGCCATATTGTGATATTAGAATATGGAAGAATATCAAATACGAATATGTAGTTAATCAAACAGAAGGCAGAAGACCCTTTTTGCCAGCCATTTCTGGTGATATTGGGTATGTCGACAACTATTTGGTGTACCGCATGTATCCACACTATGTATACCTAGAGACTCATGTATCCAAAATTTCGGGCGCATTCCCAACCTACAAAAAAATCAGGCGCAAGTCCACAAGAATGGCGCAATGTAGAAAACATGGCGCAATTCCACAAAAACGGCGCAATGGAAATTCTGCACGGGCAAGGACGGCGCAATCACGGGCAAAAACGGTGCAATCATTGGCAAAAACGGCGCATTCCAACACCAAAATCTAAAACCATATTTGTTTCCCAAAGAACGGCGCATGCCAGAAATTTCAGCGGCAATCAGATGAAACACTGTTTTGCTAGACCAGCATCAAAATTTTGATGCCGCTCGAGTCTCTAGGTATATATATATATAGCTTATCCATGTCTCATAAAGCATAGATTTAATTGATCCCACTCAATCACTGTTGTGCTGTTCTCAGTGTCCTCCCAGAGACACGAGAAACCGTAAAGGTACAGGTAGGACCCAAAGCCACCCGCAGCGGCAGCAACGGTGGTGTTCCATGCCACCAAACCAGCAGTGTGGGAACCTGGACATAGATGGGGAAAACAAAAAAAAATCTCGGGCAATAGGGAGACTATTGACATTAAGGTTTAATATTATTAATGACTATTCCACTGATGACTTTGCTTTTTATTACATGTTTAGTAATCCCATCAGCCTAATTTATCTAATAACCCCTACATAATATCGAAGTTTGTATAGATAACTAACTCATCCCCTTGATTTGAAACACCCCAAATCAATGGTCCTTCTCATGTGTGTTTTTACATCCTGCTTCCACCATGGCGCCGCTGGTGTTTCAAACATATCACCTGCCCCAAAAAACAGGTTGGATTGGAGGGTAGTCATGTCCCAATCATGTCCCAATCATGTCCCAATCATTCGGCACTCAGAGATGACCATGCATGCACGTATGATTCTGAAATAAATCCTATTTCACATAGCGGTTAAAATTGCCCATAATCTAGTTTTTTTTATGAATGACCTACTAAAAATGATGCTATTCCAAAATGATGTTCTGATGTTGAAATGTGTTGAAATACTACGGGGTACCCTCCCGTAAACTAACAGTTCGATGTGGAAAACCCAGCATTTTTAGATCATGTTCTGAGGGAACCATATGGGTTTTCCATGGGTTTTCCACATCTGATTTCTATGAAATAAGCCCAGCTGCTGCCCGGTTGAGCTGTCAAGCTTCCTCCTGCGTTAAAGCCTTGCACGGCTTGGGAGTTGGGAAAATACCGCCCTGAAAATGCGGCAGCCCCTCCCCAAATTATGGCAAGTTCAATAGAGTCTATAGAGAAAATGATGATTTATCAGTGGATCAGTGGCATTTAGAGCCATATTTGTTTTTTTTAATAAAACCATTTGAATATCACCCTGGCGCATTGATATCATTCCCAGTCCTGGCGACGAATTCTGAATGATGCTTAAAATTCAATAACTTGGTCATTGATGTCATTGATCCCCAGTCCCTCGTCTGGCGCATGCGTAGGGCGCCAAGGCACCCAGATCTGTTTCTCTGCCAACATCTTGTGTAGATCATAAGCCCAGGATGGACATACACATGTTCCAAAAAACATCCAAAAAAACAACATAACCAACCAACCTTGGGAGGCCTAGCCAATCCTAGCCATGTAGACAGTCCATTTCCATGAGACCCCAGCTACCAGGTGATACCAGGTGAGGGTCGCTGCCGCAGCCAGCTCGTGGCTGCGAGCTCCAGATGGGTCAGAATATGCCAGACATACTGCGTGACATACTTTCAGATGGGTTTGTCTGAAAATAGGGTATATTCCCAATTATAGCCATTTAATAGGGACAATGATCATGAACCATTGGGTTTAGGGGTACACTATTTTCAGACACACCCAGATGATATGCCAATGATATGCCAGAAACATCCAGAAACTATGCCATAATTTGTCAGGGGGAGAAGACTCGGGAGAAGACTCGAAGTAAAGTATTTCTTTGAGCTCTGCTTGAGTGCGTCAACCATAGCTCGTGGAAAAGGATTGTTGACCAGCGGAGCTAGGTATACAGATCCACATACAAAATCATCTACGTGCAGGTTCTCCATTTCTGTGTTTCTTTACAAGCAGAGCTGGTTGGTGGTTTTAACCATCTTGAAACATATTAGTCAATGGGAAGGAATATCCCATATATTATGGAAAATAAAAAATGTTTGAAACCATCAACCAGAGAGTGTACGCGATTGTATCCAACCCTTTGCCTGTGATACAACCGTGGAATCCGTGGGCGATGCAGCCAGTAATGCTACCTGGAAGTTCCTTGACGTTCAATTGGACCTTTGACTTCTTGGAAATACAGCAACAGCAGTCAAAATCATTCCGACTAGCAAGCTTGATAGGCTGACATGTCTTTGAAATGTCTGCATAAGACACATGTTGTGGCGACGTTTATATCAGACAAAGTCTGGCTGCAAACTCGAAACCAAGCTGCTCATGTGGACTGGTTCTACCATCCCCAATGGCAGGTTTCATCAGATTACTACAGAGTACTTGACTTGAAAACAACATGGGCATTTCACCAGAAAGTTGATCCACTTTTAACTGGTTGGTGGTATACCTACCCCTCTGAAAAAATATGAAAGTCAGTTGGGATGACTATTCCCAACTGAATGGAAAAATAAAATTCATGTTCCAAACCACAAACCAGATCACCATCATATTCCCATTGTTGTTGGTTTATAAGCTATTAACCACTAGTCAATATTAATTAACCATTATATAGCCATTAACTAATCATTGTTTGGGGTTGTATTCTTTGGGTCTCAAGCTTAGTTCAACGCCAAGGTGCCGTACCAGCCGACCCACAAGATGAACATGCCCATCACCTGCGGCAGCAATGCCATTTTTCCCAGCCATGACTGGGAATGGTAAGTTTATACCACCTATATATTTGTGGTGATGACTGGGGGATGGTTTATGGCATTGTTTTACCCATATTATCCAATTATGGGAATGGTAAAATAATTATCACCTATAAACATGGTGATTTGATGTTTTTTCTGATTATTTTACCCACTGTAATGTGGGGTAATTGACTATTTTACCATTCCCAAAACCACATAATTGAAATAACAATCAAATATGGTGATGACTGGGGGATGGTTTTGGGATGCTAAACATGACATTGTTCTAGCCACGATGTGGATCTTTCTACTCCAACTTTGGCCAACTTCCCATGGCCAAACGCCCCATGCCCCCAGGCCACATGTCTTTTAGCTGCTTAGTTTGTGGCTAACACAATGCCATTTGCACCACCCAGGAAAATCACCAGTGTTATAGGTGTTTTTTTTTGGTATTTGCACCATTCACACATGGGTGGTTTATGACATTGTTTTACCCACATGAGTTTATAAAAATATATTGACCCCAGGCTCAATGGGTCTAAAGTCTAAAGTCATATGTATCCCAAACAAATGTTGTTTAACGCATGGGTTGTGTGAAAATAGGGCACCCAAACATCAAAAGTCCGATGGTTGATCAACGTCAATCATCATGTTCTCTGTGAAATTGCCATAAATTGCCCATTTTGGATCCTCCCCCATTTTTTTTGACACGCCCTGCAACACGGACAAGTTACATCAGGGGGGATGTCTATCAGCTCTTACGGAACATGTCCCAAGTTTTGACAATAAAGCGCATACGAGATATAGATAACATTATATAAACATATTACAATATATTATTGTATCATATAATTATATAATGTTTGGATATATTTGGAATGTGTAGAGTACTAATATATGTACTAATTATGTCGGAAATCTTTAAAAAAAAGTAACTCGCCAAAAAAAACAGCAGGTGCCCGGCAATGCCCGACTTGCCCGTACCATGCCAGGCCTGCAGATAGTTGCAGGGCTGAAATTCCGCTTTGTCCCTCTCTGCGTTGTCAAAGCGGCGTTGCCAGCGAGCCTGGTTCTAAGGATTCAAGATGATTGCACCACATTCAGAATGGTGACAAGTCACGGTAACCCTCCAAAAATCAAACGTGGCAAAGGGAAAGACCCACATACCCTATAAAAACGGATCTACATGGAGATTCGCGTGCGAAATGATCAAGAAAATCCTTCAAAATTGGGATCAAGGCATCAAAAATGATGGTTTAACATGGTTTAACCATAGATCATCATCAGTATATTGAGGACAAAAGTATGGGGTACCGGATAAAACAGTACAGTACACTCAGTATCACTCAGGATGCTTCCAATAGAAATGGGTTTACAATAGTACAATGTGAGAATGTGTAAATCTAATTTACTAAATGATCAGGGGGAGCTTGATAATGGGAAACTCTGCAACATAGAATGCCTAATGTTAGGATGTGTTTGGATATTTACCCTGGGGTAAACGTTTACATAGATGTGGGGCAATCCGCCATTTGCAGATTCGGAAAACTAAGGAAACCATAGGAGTTTCCACATCAGTTACTTTACCCGGGACAACAAGTCAAATCACAAAAGGTGACCGCCGGTGATCACCGGCCGGACTCTCCGGCCTGTGTTTCGGGCACCGAGTCTCCGCACCTGCGGTTTTTGGATGGTTTTTAGACAGAAAAACGATGGGATGATTCTGGGATTCTTTCACTGAAAAATACATCTGGTTGATGGATGTTCCAAACCACCAACCAGAATCAACCAGATATTTTCTGCTATGAAAGTGACATGTAGATCATGAAAACTATCAGGAAAACCACTTAGGACTATCAACCATCGATCATTATCATATATTATTATTGTGGTAGAATATTGGTTGACATCACTATTATCAATTATGATTAACTATCATTATTATATATTATTATTAGTTAATCATCTATAGAATTTTTGGGCATGATTCCCTCCAAGTCGAAAAAAAACTCCAGCTCTACCAGGAGAAAAACTGCCGAACTGCCCAAAAATTTGATGCCCCAAACTGCACCCCATTTTCAGACGAAAATCAAAACCCTCCAATACCCTGTGGTAAACTATATAGCTATTGAAAATGGCCCATAGAAATCGTGGATTTACCCATTAGCATGGTGGATCTTTCCATAGTTACGTAAACGTTTACCAGGCCGGGTAATCTGGCCATTCCAAAATCATTTACTCATGAGCTTTCGATGGCTTCCATTTTGGGGGATGTTGCGTTGCCACGAGCCAGGATATACACAATAATCGATCTTTGCTGGGAGAAGAAGAACATAGAATTGAACAAAGAAACGAGTTTCTTGGTACAAGAAGCCAATAAGCCTTTCCTCTTCAAAAGACGCCCTAAAACCTTGTTTAGTATTGGGTCGGGTTTTCTTGTAAGGCTCCGCAAGGTCCATATGGAGGTTTCCATTAATGGGGGGCATCTCCAAAATGGATGGTTTATAGTGGAAAATCCTATTTAAATGGATGATAACTATATAGTTGTACCCCCAATTTAGGAAACCTCAGATGCAGTAGATTTTAGGACCAGGAATGGTAATATCAGCAAACCCATCTCCGAGATTTTTCTGCTGTGTAGCCATACTTTTTTGGCGAGACCCCCAGGTCTGCCATCGGGTGTCTCGAAACATGGTTTGCTTGGAAATCGCCCATCACCAATGCAGGTGTGTAGCTGGGAAAATCATCGAACCAAATTAAGTAAATGGATCTAAATGGAGGAGATGCATGGATATTCCCTTATGTCCTTTCATTCTGGCTGGCCACGCTATACCTGTAGGTGCTCAATCTTAGAGTTGGTTGGAATCAACCTTGGCATCTTCACACATGAGCAGTGCCCAAACCCTCTGTCATCCGTTTCCACTGGTTGATAGGAGTTCCTATTTGGACAGAAAAACACATGTAAACACAGAATGCAATAATCCTACCATTTTCGCCATTATGATTCATAATGTATATATATATATATACATATACATAGTTTTTCTTCATCAACCCATGATATTCCCATGTTCTCCGTGGTTAAACCATGTTAAACCCAGCTAACCCACCAGATCCCCCCAGCACAAAAAGCCTCGTGTCCCGGAACGCGTCCGGCGCTTCCAAGTCTTCCGCCACAGTGTCCTGCGAACGCGTTGCCCGGTTGTGCCAAGATCCAAGATGTTGAAACCAAAAAAAATTGGGCATATAAATACATGATTATACACACATATAATACATATATATATATATACATATGTGGCATATATATATGTTATAGTTACTAAAATAATTACTAAGACTTTGATTGTGGTGATCATCAATGTTATGATGATGACAACTACAATAGCGATAATTGTAATGATAGCGACAGTAATAATAATATACAATGATTGTATGTAATATTAATATAGTAGAACAATGGTAGTAATAATGATAAGTCATCATCATAAGCCATCAAATGGACATCAACCATCCTTGGGGTGCTTCTCTTCACAATAACCATACGGTGTGGATCTTTGTGCTGAGCTAGTCCCTTAGATGGACCCCCAACAGTGGCCATGGGGTCAAAGGAGATCCGATAGAGTCTCATCGACTTTTGCATTGAAGTGTAAAAAAAACAAGATGGAAGCCACGAACCCGAATGTATTCACCTTCTTGGACTACGAGTCCAAACCTCTGCAATAGGAAAACGAACCTTTTTTTTTTCACGCATCGTGCGCTCATTGTCGCAGCGAAGGCACCTGATCAACAGTTCACAAAGAGACAACTAACCAGCACAACAACATCACCACCAGCACAACGAAATCACCACCAGCACAACAACATCACCAGCGCTATGAAATCACAACGAAATCACCAGTACAACGAAATCACCAGCACAACAAAATCACCAGCACAACAACATCACCAGCGCAACGAAAGCACCAGCACGACGAAATCACCAGCGAACAGCACCAGCGCAACAAAATCACCAGCACAAACGAAATCACTAGCACAACCAAAACACCAGCACAACGAAATCACCAGCGCAACAACATCACCAGCACAACAACATCACTAGCACAACGAGATCACCACCACCTGCCACACTCCACACTTTACCCACTGCACACTCCACACTCCACACTGTACACTTTACACTCCACACTCCACACTCTACACTCCACAATCTACACTCCACACTCCACACTCCACATCTTACAGTTTACACTCCTACACTTCACACTCTACACTCCACACTCGACACTTTCCACACCTCACTCCACACTCTACACTTTAAACTCCACACTTTCCACTTTGCACTTTACACTCCTCACTCCACACTTTACACTCCAAACTTTACACGCCACACTCCACACACTACACTTTACACTCTACACTGTACACTCTACACTCCACACTTTACACTTTACACTACGCTCTTTACACTCCACACTCTACACTTTACACTCCACACTCCACACTCCACACTCTACACTCCACACTCTACACTTTACCCACTGCACACTCCACACTCCACACTTTACACTCCACACTCCTCACTCCTCACTCCACACACTACACTCCACACTCTACACTCTACACTTTACACTCCACACTTTACACTCTCCAGCGCAACAAAAATCACCAGCACAAACGAAATCACTAGCACAACGAAATCACCAGCACAACGAAAAAAACAGCACAACAACATCACCAGCGCAACAACATCACCAGCACAACGAGATCACCACCACCTGCCACACTCCACACTCTACCAACTGCACACTCCACGCTCCACACTCTACACTTTACACTCCACACTCCGCACTCTACACTTTACACTCTACACTCCGCACTCCATACTCGACACTTTCCAATCCACACTCCACAATCCACACTTTACACTCCACACTCCACACTTTACAGTTTAAACTCCTCACTCCACACTCTACACTTTAGACTCCACACTGTACACTTTACAGTTTGCACTTTACACTCCACACTTTACACTCCACACTCCTCACTCCACAACACTCCAAACTCCACCACACTCTACACTCTACACACGCACCACACTCCTCACTCCACACTCCACACTCCAAACTTTACACTCCACACTCCACACTTTACACTCCACACTCTACACTTCACACTCTACAACCCACACTCCACACTCCAGACTTTACACTCCACACTCTACACTTCACACTCTACAACCCACACTCCACACTCGACACTTTCCACTCCACACTCCACACACTTTACACTGCACACTCCACACTCCACTTTACACTTTACACTCCTCACTCCACACCCTTTACACTCAACACTCCACACTTTACGCTTTACACTCCTCACTCCACACTCTACACTTTAAACTCCACATTTTACACTTTGCACTTTACACTCCGCACTCCACACTTTACACTCCACACTCCACACTCCACATGGAAAAGATCCACAGTCTGCAGCTTACACTTGGACATGCTCAAGTAAAAACAACTAGACACAAAAACACCACACAAGTAACAGAAACATCTCTCAAGTAAATCAGTTGTCGCAAGTAAAAAAGACATCAAAGAACACATTCAAATAAACACAAAGCAGCACCCTCATATAAGGAACCGAAAGCCAAATCCAAGATGCACAAGTAAACACACAACTGACATGCCCAAGTGCAAAAAGCTCAAGTAACATACACAGGTCCCAAAAATAACCAGCAAATAACCAGACAAAACTAACATGCCCAAGTACAAAAAGCTCAAGTAACATACACACAAGTCCAACAGAGAAAACAGCAAATAGAAAACAAACATGTTCATTAGACAGAAAATATCATCAAAACACAACCATCACCACAATCAAACCAAAATAAAACATGTAAAGCAGTATTACACTTGAACAGTGCCAACAAGACACATCATTCAAAATGTTAAGAAAACCAACAGCAAAAAAATCAAAAACACAAAAAAAACAATAAAAAAAACATTAATTTATATGCGTGAAAAAACATGACAACAATTTAGGTATATACCTAAATCA